GGGGGGGGGGCACAAAAACTTACTGTCTGTTATACATGACTGGGAGTTGAAAACATTGTCTAATACAGGATTGGAGGGTTTGGGGTCAAAAACAGTCACTCTCTGTAATACAGGACTGAGGGGTCAAAACACTGTCTGTAAAACAGGACAGGGGTTGGGGGTCACAAACACTTATTGTCTTTTACACAGGACGGGGGTTCACAAACACTTACCGTCGGTACCACAGGACTCCTATGATGATGGCAATTGTGAGGACTACTGCGATGACTACCCCAACAGCTATCTTTCCTGCATTGTTACCTCCAGCAGGTTTGTTTTTAACCTTCTCAGTAGTCGCATGTACTCTATCTGGTGTTGTAATGGAGCTTGTCGCTGGTTTTGCAGTAATAGGAGCTGGTGTTGTACTGGTTTTTGGTGTTGAAGGTTTTGCAGTAGTAGGAACTGGTGTTATATTAGAGCTTGTCATTGAAGGTTTTGCAGTAGTAGAAAGTGGTGTTGTACTGGAGTTTGTCGTTGAAGGCTTTGCAGTAGTAGAAGTTGGTGTTTTACTGGGGTTTGTTGTTGAAGGATTTACAGTAATAGGAGCTAGTGTTGTATTAGAGCCTGTCATTGAAGAGTTTGCAGTAGTAGGAGCTGGTGCTATACTGGAGCTTGTCGTTGAAGGATTTGCAGTAGTAGGAACTGGTGTTTTACTGGGGTTTGTTGTTGAAGGATTTACAGTAATAGGAGCTAGTGTTGTATTAGAGCCTGTCATTGAAGAGTTTGCAGTAGTAGGAGCTGGTGCTATACTGGAGCTTGTCGTTGAAGGATTTGCAGCAGTAGGAGCTAGTGTTTTACTGGAGTTTGTTGCTGAAGGATTTACAGTAGAAGGAGTTGGTGTTGTACTGGAGCTTGTCGTTGAAGGACTTGAAGTAGTAGGAGCTGGTGTAATATTAGAGGTTACAGGTTTTGTTGTAGAAATGTCTGTTTTATTAGTGGTAGAGTTGTTGTTTCCATCTGCTACAGAAGTATCACCAGATTTAGATGTTTCTCCTGTTCCTGATGCTGTAGAAGGCACAGGTGATTGTCCCTGTGGGGAAGAGGGAGCAGCTTGCGTTTGAAAGGCTGAACCATTCCCAGTCTGTGGCGATGTAGTTGTCAACACTGTACTTCCAGTTGAGGATTTGTTGATTGATGTAGGGACTGATGCTTGTGTAGCAGATTCAGTTGGAGCAACTACAACAGATTAAAAAACATTTATCTGATAAGAAGAAAAATATCTTTACACACAAACCTGGTTCAACCATCCTTTCCACATCTAAATTTTCATTCATATACACTCACCTACCATCCAATGTCAAACAATCACAAACCATCCTCTACACATCTCAATTGACACTCACTTACCATTCCATACCTAACAACCACCGATCATCCTCTCCACATCAGAAAAAAATCATCTATCTGATTAGAAGATAAATATCTCTACACACAAACCAGGTTCAAACATCCTCTAGATGTCCACGTGCACATGTCCCCCAAAAAAAATCCCAAATCCAACCTCCACTCACCAACATCCAGTAGCTTAACCTCCACTCTCCAAATTCCCCACATTGCAACCTCCGCTCATCAACCTCCCAACATCTTAACCTCCACTCACAAACATCCCCACATCTTAACTTCCCCTCACCAATGACCCCACATATTAAACTCCACTCACAAACCTTCCCACATCTTAACCCCCACTCAAAAACATCCCAACATCTTAACCTCCACTCACAAACCTCCCCACATCTAAACTCCGACTCACCAACCTCCCCACATAAAAACTCCCACTCATAAACCTCCCCTCATCAATCACCCAAAAAATTAACCTTCACTCACAAACCTCCCCACATCTTAACCCCCACTCAAAAACCTCCCAACATCTTAACCTTCACTCACCAACCTCCCCACATCTTGATATCCCCTCTCAAACATCCTCTAGATATCCACATCTCCCCAAAACATATTCCCACATCTAACCCCACTCACCAACATCCCAATAGCTTCATCTCCACCCGCCAACTTCCTCACATTGTAACCTCCACTCAAAACTCACCCCACATCTAAACTCCCACTCACCAACCTCCCCACATCCAACCTCTACTCACCAACATCCAAACATCTTAACCTCCACTCACAAACATCCCCACATCTTAACTTCCCCTCACCAATGACCCCACATATTAAACTCCACTCACAAGCCTTCCCACATCTTAACCCCCACTCAAAAACATCCCAACATCTTAACTGCCACTCACCAACCTCCCCACATCTTAACCTTCACTCACCAACCTCCCCACATCTTGATATCCCCTCTCAAACATCCTCTAGATATCCACATCTCCCCAACAAAACTTCCCACATCCAACCCCACCCACCAACATCCCAATAGCTTAACATCCACTCTTCAAATTCCACACATTGTAACCCCCGCTCACCAACCTCCCAACATCTTAACCTCCACTCACAAACATCCCCACATCTTAACTTCCCCTCACCAATGACCCCACATATTAAACTCCACTCACAAACCTTCCCACATCGTAACCCCCACTCAAAAACATCCCAACATCTTAACCTCAACTCACCAACCTCCCCACATCTTAACCTCCACTCACCAACCTCCCCACATAAAAACTCCCACTCATAAACCCCCCCTCAACAATCACCCAAAAAATTAACCTTCACTCACAAACCTCCCCACATCTTAACCCTCACTCAAAAACCTCCCAACATCTTAACCTTCACTCACCAACCTCCCAACATCTTAATCTCCCCTCTCAAACATCCTCTAGATATCCACATCTCCCCAACAAAACTTCCCACATCCAACCCCACTCACCAACATCCCAATAGCTTAACATCCACTCTTCAAATTCCCCACATTGTAACCTCCGCTCACCAACCTCCCCACATCTTAACCTCCACTCACAAACCTTCCCACATCTTAACCCCCCCTCAAAAACATCCCAACATCTTAACCTCCACTCACCAACCTCCCCACATCTTAACCTCCACTCACCAACCTCCCCACATAAAAACTCCCACTCATAAACCCCCCCTCAACAATCACCCAAAAAATTAACCTTCACTCACAAACCTCCCCACATCTTAACCCCCACTCAAAAACCTCCCAACATCTTAACCTTCACTCACCAACCTCCCCACATCTTAATATCCCCTCTCAAACATCCTCTAGATATCCACATCTCCCCAACAAAACTTCCCACATCCAACCCCACTCACCAACATCCCAATAGCTTAACCTCTCACAAACCTTCCCACATCTTAACCCCCACTCAAAAACACCCCAACATCTTAACTGCCACTCACCAACCTCCCCACATCTTAACCTCCACTCACAAACCTCCCCACATCTTAACCCCCACTCAAAAACATCCCAACATCTTAACTGCCACTCACCAACCTCCCCACATCTTAACCTCCACTCACCAACCTCCCCACATAAAAACTCCGACTCATAAACCTCCCCCACATCTTAACCTCCCCTCATCAATCACCCAAAAAATTAACCTCCACTCACAAACTCCCCACATCTGAACTCCCACTCACAAACCTCCCCACATCTAAACCTTCACTCACCAACCTCCCCACAACCTAACCTCCCCTCTCAAACATCCTCTAGATATCCACATCTCCCCAACAAAACTTCCCAAATCCAACCCCACTTACCAACATCCCAATAGCTTAACATCCACTCTTCAAATTCCCCACATTGTAACCTCCGCTCACCAACCTCCCCACATCTTAACCTCCACTCACAAACCTTCTCACATCTTAACCTCGCCTCATCTTATCTCCCACTCACCAACCTCGACACATATTAACCTCCACTCACAAACCTCCCCACATCTTAACCTCCATTCACAAACCTCACCACATCTTAACCACCCCTCACCAATCACCCCACATAATAAACTCCACTCACAAACCTTCCCACAACTTAACCCCCACTCAAAAACATCCCAACATCTTAACCTCCACTCACCAACCTCCCCACATCTTAACCTCCACTCACAAACCTCCCTACATCTTAACCTCTCCTCACAAACCTCCCCAAATCTAAACTCCCACTCACAAACCTCCCCACAATACATCTAAACCTCCACTCACCAACCTACCCACATCTTAACCTCCCCTCTCAAACATCCTCCAGATATCCACATCTCCCCAAAAAACTTCCCACATCGAACCCCACTCACCAACATCCCAATAGCTTCATCTCAACCCTCCGACCTCCTCACATTGTAACCTCCACTCAAAAAATCTCCCAACATATTAAACTCAACTCACAAACCTTCCCACATCTTAACGGCGACTCAAAAACATCCCAACATCTTAACCTCCACTCACCAACCTCCCTACATCTTAAACTCCACTCAAAAACCTTCCCACATCTTAACCTCCCCTCACAAACCTCCCCATGTCTAAACTCCCACTCACCAACCTCCCCACATATAAACCTCCACTCATAAACCTCCCCACATCTTAACCTCCCCTCACCAATCACCCCTAATATTAATCTCCACTCACAAACCTCCCCACATCTGAACTCCCACTCACAAACCTCCCCACATCTAAACCTCTACTCACCAACCTCCCCACAACCTAACCTCCCCTCTCAAACATCCTCTAGATATCCACATCTCCCCAAAAAATATTCCCACATCCAACCCCACTCACCAACATCCCAATAGCTTAACCTCCACTTTCCAAATTCCCCACATTGTTACCTCCCCTCACCAACCTCCCAACATCTTAACATCCACTCACAAACCTCACCACATCTTAACCTCCCCTCACCAATCACCCCACATAATAAACTCCACTCACAAACTTTCCCACAACTTAACCCCGACTCAAAAACATCCCAACATCTTAACCTCCACTCACCAACCTCCCAACATCTTAACCTCCACTCACAAACCTTCCCACATCTTAACCTCCCCACATCTTATCTCCCACTCACAAACCTCCCCACATATTAACCTCCACTCACAAACCTCCCCACATCTTAACCCCTACTCAAAATCATCCCCATATTGTAACCTCTGCTCACCAACCTCCCCACATCTAAACCTCCCCTCTCCAACTTCCCCACATCTTAAACTCCGCTCACCAACCTCCCCATAGCTTAACCTCCACTCAGGAACCTCACAACATCTTAACCTAGACTCACAAACCTCCCAACATTATAACCTCCACCCATCAAATTCCCCACATCTTAACCTCCACTCAATAAACTCCCCACATATTAACCTCTACTCATCAACCTCCCCACATCTTAACCTCCACTCACAAACCTCCCCACATCTTAACCTCCACTCAAATTTGGTGGTTTCATTTTACCATTGGGGATGGAATATTCACCAACTTGAGTATCAACCTTAACCCTTAAAACATCTAATACTCCCTACCGTCAAGAGAGATCAAAACATTATGTAGAGTTATCGATTCTCAGACCCCAAGATCCAATCACAGGTATTTTACGTGTTTAAAATATACATATTTATATTATATGTATGTATCGGTATATACAGAATATAGGTGTTTTTTATAAACAATGAGTGAAGTACCTTTGATACAAGTGACAATTATCCCAGGTATAAAAGGTGAAGTGCATTGATAATATTTTTTCCCATATAGCGGATTTTGTGTTCCAAGCGAGGCAACTCTTTGTAAAACGGCAGCCATTTTCCGCGAACACTTTTGGCAGGTGCGGTATCGTTCCTGTTTTTACCGCATAGTGCCCTATTACATATAGTCATAAATCGTCCAATACTTAAACATCGGCAACCCCCACAGAAATGGAATTAACACACACATATTTGATCATGAATTACAACCGAGGAGATCGCGATGTCATGACCACGTGAATGGTTTATAACCAGATCTCTATTACCTGAACACACCTGACCCATCCCTAACACTGCGTACGTCATTTATACATACATACTTTCTTGCAATATAACCTACAAATCGACAGTGGTGTGAATTAGAAATTATAGAAAATACCAAAAGAGCTTTATAAAGCAGCACCGTGATCGTTATCGTTATAATTACCTGGTGTGGGATCTCCATAAATTCTCGGAACAAGAAACAAGATCAAAATGAAAGCATGAAACACCGTTGACATTGTCGGAAGTCAAGCTCGTTGCGTGAAATAGCTTCTCTCTTATTTGAATTTATATACAGCTTGTATATCGACGACTTGGTTGAGAAATGTTGACGTGTTCCAAATTATCCGGTTATAGTCGAAGAGCCAAGACGGTCGAATAACTTGCTATAGGCCTACATATATGTGCAATCACCTGGTTATCCCACCATTATAACGCTACGACCAATCAGCAATCAGCATGGGGGTCAACTCTGACCTTTGGCCCATGATCGAATAATTTCTCTGTCATCACGAAAGATCATGTTTACCTTTCATTATAAACGTGATTCGAGTTTTTGGTATAAGTTTACCAGTGTTTACCTGACGCATTTCAATAGTTTGACATATCATATAATACATGTACGGCAATGAATGATTGCATAGGGCTCTGTCGTAATCTTACAGTAAATTGTATCTTAGCTCAAATGTCCCTAAGGGTCCTATTTATTTTAAAATCATATTCCTCCTGAAATGCTGATTGGATTTCAGCCGAATTTCGTGTGGAGTAGTGAACTAATTGGCGTAGCATGCACAAGTATTAATGAAGGGTATGGCAATAATCTGTGACAATACACCAGAGGAGGTATGCAGATTATTGGAGGAGGAAGAAGAAGACCTGTAGCATCGGGAGTTGAAAGGGCGCGGACAAATAGGGGACATAAATTCTAGCTTGTTTTCCAATCCCTGTGCAATTATATGTATGTAATTAATATGTTTTAATATTGAATAAATACTGTTTAAACTAAATAGGGGTCATTATACGGTAAATCTTACCAAAAAAAAAACCCAAAAAAACCCTACTCATTCGGTACAGGAGAAAGGATTTTAACTAAATTTGGTCAGGACCATTTCTGGACGGGGGAGTGGAGTGTCTACAAATGGTGAATTATCCCCTGTTGGTAGAGCCAGGCGTGGGCTCAATAGGAAAAATAGTCATATAATTAACACTTTCAATAAAGATTTCTCTTTCAGTGAAGATGAAGGGTTTCAAGTTAAAGTCTCTCACATCGTATGGGTAATTGATATCTTGTTAAGTAAACTTTCTATGTATACCAAAACATCAGTGCTTGGTTCTATACATGGTTATGGTTAGACTTATTTACGGACGCACAGATGTTGTGGAGGTTATAATTAATGGTTGTATCACTAATCATCTACCCTATGTATATATATGGAGAAGGGAACTTGCTCATGATCACGCATACGTTTGTATGGCATGTACATATGAATGTAATTGCATGATGGCATCACGTTTGTTTTCGTTCAATATATAAGTGTATGCATTGAATTGATAAAAAAATGGCGGAAAAAATGCTATGTCGGCTTTTAAAATGAACATCTGACAGGTTTAAATTATTATACCTATATGGACATGTCAGTTTTTGTGGTTTGTCCATTTGAACACTACAATAATACAAAATTACAAGTTGTCTTTGTCTATGTATCGATATTATTATCTTTAAGTAATCGTATCATAAATTAAACGAGTTATTATTCGTGAGTTATGACTTCATACCCCAACTGGTTTTTGTTCACGAATTGTTAACCAGGCGCGTAGCTGGTCTGTTTTGGATGTGCATGCACCGAAGGTGCGAATGCGAGCGGCGCGAAGCCATTCTAGGGGGTACGGGGGCATGATTTTTTTAGATCTAGAAGCTCTGTCGTACCATCTGGTGGCTTTTTAGATACATATTTGAGTGTTTTAATTTATGCATTTTTTGGTTGATTCATTCACTTTATTATTGGAAAGCATCGCAAAAATTAAAATGTATTTCAAATGCGAAAGACAGCTCTCCTTTTTTTCTCCGACAAAAATGTGTCGATTGTTGGAATTACCCGAAAATATCTCTTTCCTGATGAATTTAAATTAACTAGATATTTAAAATGTCGGAGCCAATATGAACAGATTAATTTCAGATTGTTTGCTGCTGTGTTCCCCAAACCCTTTGTATTCCATCAACATTTCTCAGAACATAAGATGACGGTAGCACCTATATCGATGTTGAGATATATGTATACACATATATCCAGTAGCCCTACTGAAGATAGGTCTAGGACTACTCTTAAAAACATACTTTATCAGTTCATGACAGGGACAAATGAAGGCCTATATAATGTCACAGATTAGCAAAAGCTAACTACATGTACGTGGCTTTTTTCTAAATTTCGAGGCTTTGCCTTTTTCATATAACATTTGCAGGCGAAGTGAATGTAAAACTCAGATGGTTCTTATACGCGCATATACCCGCCCTAAAACCTGTTACAATAATGCTAGTAACAAATCAATCTATTTGTTATTCGGAAGACCTTTAATTGGTTAAAAAAAATACACAAAAATACATCCATTCCGGAAAAACAACCCGCCTCCGTTGACTTAGTTGTATTTCATTACAATCGCTTGTTAAAATGCTGCTGTGTATGGAATTTGAACTCGTCAGTTTTTTTCATCTTTTTGACAGGATATCGATATCCACCTTCACTTTACACAATAGTAAGACGAATATCAGGGGTAACAACAGTCAGACTGATCAGAACTAAGCGTGTTCGGTCGGTCCGGTATTTCTAGGCCCTAATACTAATAGCCGTTTTAGACTCGTCAATGCCTAAGTTAATGTCGCAAGAGGATATTGTTTTATGTGAACCTACAGCTGCTTGGAAGATACATGTATCAACTTGTTCTTCGAAGATGATGCGGTTTTCGATGTTGACAACTTTAAAAATACTAATAATAAAATCGGCACCAGGTACCCTAGGCTGGAACTTCCGGATACGTACTGATTGTCGGCTGTCGGTTATACAGTTAAATTTAATATATTTTTCAATTGAACCACACATCATTTAATCACTTTTCCGAACTACAAAATAAATAAATAAATAAATAAAATATAATAGCACGGAATTAGATTAGATGTTATCTAAGTCCGTGATAATAGATTATATATATATAGTATGTTTAAATTTTTGATGTGCAAGCAACTGCTTATTTGCTTACGTGGCAGCTACGCGTGTTCCTTGGGATTCCCTATGACTTGCTTTATGATATAAGAATCACGTGTTTATAATGTCAGACATATCAGTAAGCAATGGAAATAAAGTCATGTGATCGTACGTACACTTTAATAGTTCCTCGTGTCATTGATTTCGGAGCCCTTAATGCGTAACCGCGACTGCATACTCACATCGGTTAAATGCATTATGTCCCCGAGGACTGTTATTAAGATGTGTACAACCTACTGATTGAAACGAAAAGTTAACAACCGAAAATGTGTTTATATATTATAATATGAACCAACATTTGTCAACAGAAATAGTCTGACCTGTAGGAAATTATAGATTTCGGAGCAGCGTCTGTGATCCACTGCTCAAAGAAAGATAACTCTAGTACACTTAAATTCCTTTTGAATCTGTTGATCTTTTATCAAATATTTTAATCTAATTAATTAATTAATTTGATTGAAATTCTTTATTTATATTACAGTATTTTTGTGTTTGTGTGTGTAGTCCAATATAAGTTTTTGTTGAATGGTAAAAACATTTTCTGTTTTTTGTTATTTTTTCAATTAAGTTAATTAAAAGATGATGTTTAAGAAAATACAAGATCATGATTTTTTTTTCGAAAAAAGTCACTGATTTAAGAATCTGTTTCCATCGGACTTCGACAGTGGAAAAACTGACGAATATGTGTGGCCTCATTTACATAATGTTCTCTCGTGCGTTTGACAGGTTTGGTTATTAGTTTATGTCTATTTTTTTCAGGGATGGATTCATATCATCCTCGAAATTCCAGGAGTGTCTCGATCTTATGTAACCCATGGAATTCGAGGATGGGCTTATATTTATCAGAATTAAAATGTATTAGGCAGCACTGAAAACATTATGCTTGGTTTTTATATTAATTAGTCATATATTCTGTAAGAAGAACGTCCGGTTACGTTGACGATGTGTAAATGTCTAAATCATATCCTCGTGTATAATAACCAGGTGACGTAGCCACGTGATACAGATTTAAAATGGGCTGCGCGAAATCTATACCATGCGCCAAAACCGTTAAATATTCAATGCATAAAATACCTTGAAAATAATTGCAAATGGACTATTTGCCATTTTGGCAAAGTGACCCTCCTGTTAAGCAAATACCTACTCACACACTGACGCTTTTAGGCCATGAAGACTCATTGTTGTAAGAAAACAGGGGCGAACGCTCAACTAAAGACCAAAAGTGATGCATTGTCAAGGGAGACATTAAGAAGAAGAAAGTTGTTTAGAAAGAAGAGAAAAGATAAGATTCCAAATTTAGTCGCCTCTTGCACGATCTACGCCCTACCTGCAGGGACTGTCTGGTACATGTATCACTCTCACTACGTACTGTGACGTGTCTTTTTGTCTGAGTCTGATGTGACGAGATATTTAATACTATTGATCCCGCGATAATATAAGGGTGGAGCTCTATATACCTGAGCAAAGTCAGCTATTTAAGGAAAATTTCTTCAACCAGAGATTTCCCCTCAACTCCAACGGGAAAACATAGGAATTCCATGAAGTTAAGGAAATGTTAGCCTAGTTACATCACGGCTTAGATAATCTAATTCCGTGGTAACATGTTGTTTTCACCTGAAAAGCGTGCATGGTTATTTAAAAAAAAATAAATTAATTCATGCATACATTTTTCCGTTTATTGCCAAAATTTTCAAACTCCTAAAGTAATTTTCTTGAATATTCCTTTTTACTTTCATATTTTTTTCCGTTATTTTAATTTATCAACATATAGTACTTTATTGATCTCTTCGGCCTGTGCAAAGACGTACATTGTCTCTGAATCGCAATATCATGGCCATTATTATGTAATCATCCTTACCGGTTCGTGATAATTCAATCGGCCTAATCAAATCCCATCGACCGTGATAAAATCGCGGCAAATTGACAAACATTTTGTAATATTCGCATATCTCAACAGGCCGTGTAACGCGACATGAATAACTCGATGCCCCGCCATAACAGCGGAATCATTTTAACACGGTCAAAATTTCCCGTGACACCGGGAACCACGTAATTGTTAACGTTAACAGATCTAGAGTCACGTCATTGGAAAAGAAACAACACACGTTTGACCCTCAAGTAAACATCACAAAACCTACAAGCATGGCCACGGATATTCCTAAGGTTGACGACTTGCTGAAAACAGCATGTGCCGCTTTCGAGAAACGGTTTGGTTGTAAACCAGAGGTGGCAGGGTGCGCGCCGGGGAGGGTGAACTTGATTGGGGAGCACACGGACTACAACGAAGGGTTCGTGTTCCCCATGGTAAGTTGGAACTTGGAATTATAAGTATAAGTAAGGCACACATGGACCTGATAATTTAGTACAGTTATATTTGGACATAAACTAAGGTTTTCAGCGTAATTTTACACGTTTTAGAGGTTTAGATAAAATTTCGGTAAAAACCCAAATAATGATAATGTAGCGGAACTGGACTGGGTCGAGCGTTTGGTTTAATTTTGTTTAACGTCCTATTAACGTTAACAGCTACGTTAAGGTCATTTAGGACGTGCCTCCATGTGTGTAGTGTATGCGTGCTTGCGTGTGTGTATGCAGGAGACGGGGTATGTTGGTGTTCTTGCCTCCTTGTGATAGTACGGATCTGATGCCGACTTCATAGTTCTAACTCACTGAAATGCCATGCCGAAGTCACCAAGCACTGAGCACGCTGCCTATTGAGCTATAAAGACATTTAAAGACTTATAAAGCTATATTCACCTAAATTATAGCTGTATTGAGCTTTGTTTTCTCAGATTTTAGTTTTCATTAAATTAAAGCAAAGTCGCATTAAACAATAAGGTTTATGGTCATGTTGACTATAAAAAACATACAGTTAGATGTTTATTTTGATTTTTATACGCCCTTCAAATTTGACGGAAGTATTATTGTATGGGTCTGTCCGTCCGTCCAGCACAAACTTTTGTTTGTCCGGCAATCTCCTCCTACTTTTTTCAACGGATCTCTTTGAAACTTGATATACATTATAATCATGATATGAAGTGTGTCTCCCTTAAAAGAATTTTGATTGAACGATTTTTGCAAAAGTTATTGCCCTTTATGTTTATTTCAGCATTTTATTTTTTTCTGGCAATCACCTCCTACATGTTTCAACGGATCTCTTTGACACTTGGTATACATTATAATCATGATATGAAGTTGTGTCTCCCTTAAAAGAATTTCGATTGAACGATTTTTGCAAAATTTATTGCCCTTTGTTCATTTCAGTATTTGATTTTTTGTCCGGACATTTTCTTCTACACTTTTTATAGCATGTCAGCTAACCACTCTTAGAATGATGCAGATCTTATTTCAATGTAAGAAAGTATATAACACTACATGGCATTCAACTGGCGTATATTGCTCCGCCCCGCGTTACTCTTGTTCATAAATGTGAAATTTCCGATTTTTTTACATCATTATTTTTCAAAAAGAATATTTAAATTTTATGTCTTTTGTTATCAACCTAATGATAAAATCGTCTCTTAACAGCGACTTGGTTTCGTTTTCCTAAAAAAAGAAAATCACATGAAAATAGCTCAAAAGACCTATTTCGGATAGGTCAATACAGCTATATAGCTTAATCGGCAGAGTGTACTGGACCTGCAGCATTCTGCCTGGTCACATTATAATGACAACGGGTGAACCAGTTGTTGCCATTCCCCTACATGCTGATCGTCGAACCTTAAGCAGGGAATAACAACTACCATTTAAAGGACTTTGGTATGTCCAGCCTGCTCAATTGGTTATCAGAGACTATATGAGTTCGGACAGTCGCAAGTTCTATTCCTGCACTAATCTCAATCTTATTTGCCAGTAGATTACTGATATGAAGTGCTGTGAACTTAGGTGAAAATGAAGTCCACAAAAATCAAGGGAGCATCTTAAGGCCTTTTGGCCACTAGTTATGAAAATACAAAGTTCAGATTTCTATCTGACCGTAGGGTGACGCCAAGTGTCCGGGATAATGCAGATTTCTGAATACTGTGTAACATGAACTGATATGTTTTCTTACCTGCCAAGTTCTCAACAATGAAATGAGGGTTATAGAGAATCAAGCAGGTAGATCACTTCAGTATGTGAACTGTTAAACTTTACTGTAGTGCTATATATAGCAGTAGCATATATATAAACTGCTTAGATTCATCCGTAACACCCACTCCCCTTCTGAAGAAAATATTTGAAAATGGCAAATCCCTCAACTTAATAAGATGCCACCAATTGCCCTACACATAGAAAGATAACGTACCAAAATAAGTACATCTGTACATATACACTGTCCATATCATTATTGCACATGTTATACGTGTACACATACCGTTAGACATGTTAGCTAGTAAACTGCTGGTAAAAATCACAAAAACAGAAAATATCTCTCATAGATAAGGATCTATACAAGGTGTTTGTTGTTTTTATTGTGTTATCCATTTCTTACTACTAATGTCATGGCTATATAATTAGATACACAGTTAATTATATAATGATGGTACTGATGTATACATCACCTTTAACTTTCTCTACATGTAAACCATGGTACCCTCTATACACAAATTGTCACGATTATTGTATGGTTTATACAGACAGTGTAGGGGGGAAAAAATCTTAATTACTGTACTAATGTAGTTACAATGTCATAATTACTGTATCTATGTAGTTACAATATCATAATTACAGTATCTATGTAGTTACAATAACATAATTACTGATTCTATGTAGTTACAATATCATAATTACTGTATCTATGTAGTTACAATAACATAATTACTGATTCTATGTAGTTACAATATCATAATTACTGTATCAATGTAGTTACAATATCATAATTACTGTATCTATGTAGTTACAATATCATAATTCCTATATCTATGAAGTTACAATATCATAATTACTGTATCTATGTAGTTACAATATCATAATTACTGCATCAATGTAGTTACAATGTCATAATTACTGCATCAATGTAGTTATAATGTCATAACTACTGTGTCAATGTAGTTAAATATAATTACTGTACCAACATAATTACAATATCATAATTACTGTACCCATGTAGATACATTTCCATATTTACTGTACTAATTGTAGTTGAATTTCCATAATTACTGTACTAATTGTAGTTACATTTCCATAATTAACTGTACTATGTAGTTACATTTCCATAATTACTGTACATTTGTAGTTTAAGTTACAATATCATAATTACATATCCATGTAGTTATAATATCATATATACAGTACCCACATAACAACAATATCATAATTACATTGTATTTAATGTACTGAAATATTAATAAAATCTTGTCTTGTACGTGATTTCTATGATCCAAAACTTCAGGAAAATTAGAGAGTATATATACTTGTTCACAATATTGTGTTATTTTTTATTGAAGATTATTTTTTGTTGTAATAGGGAAAAAATGTCAAAATTCTTTTGGGAATGAAACAAATATAACTTGTGCAAGTCTAGTTTTGCCTCTGCATGACATGTACCAGGGTAGGTCAAGGTCAAGAATTGCTGATCTCTGATTGGTTGATCATTCTCACGCCCATGTTTACCAAGCCGGCAGATGTAGCTTTGTGACACTAGAAAATTAAACCCACAAAAATTAGTTCTGGCAAAGTTTTTCAATAAACCTACTGGTATTTAAAAGAACTGTCAGGTTATGATATTTTCAAATGGATAGGTTCAACAAAAAAGGTGTTATCTCAAATAAGGATGTCATTTAAAGGTCAAACGACCAGGAAAATATGTGAAGTTGTGTGGAAAAATATACAATGTTTCACAATTAGAACATGTGCATTTACTGGAGATCTACCATTTTTAGCTAACCTGGCCTGAGGGAGATCAACTTTGTAGTATCAGATGATGTGAAGAGGGAAGAGGTTAAGGCATAATAGGGGAAATTGAGGTTAATATTTAAAATCCTTCTCCTTCCATATGGTGGAAAAAAACAAATATGATCTAGAGCTTTCTTTTGCCAAGTGGAGGCAACAGTTTTACAAATGAAGGATAGGGCCCCTGTTGGGGACAGAGGGGCAGTCAGAGCCAAATTGGTGAAATTATATTATAACATTGGATTATAACATGGAAACACTCCAAATACTTTCCTTATATCCATATACTCTTACTCAACATTTTTGGACAAATAACTTTATGTTATCGAGAATTTAGAGTGAACAGGGAAATTATAACTTAGAAACGGTGGAGATCCCTTACCCAATAACCATATATACAATTGTTTGGCATGAACAGATTAGTTACACATTTACCATCAGAATCTTGGGTTCCCTTCCCACTCCTTGATTGATGTCATGCCATGGGACAAATATATTCATGCTCGATGTACCACATTTTGCATTGGGATCTATCCTCCTCCCAGGACGAGGTTCATTCTAGGGAAATCGGGTCATTTCTTGAAAACACTTGAGATCCCCCCCATAACCATATATATTTTATATACATATTGGACATTGTGAGATAAACATTCAGGATTCCCTACCTATAAGTTATAACCGTGGGTATATATTTTTAAATGCATCCCTTGTCATGAAGAGATGAATGCACATATATGCCCCGAGGATTGGCCCTGGGGGTCAGCCCTCCTGCCCCAGGAAACTTTGTTCTTGAGTGATAACATAGAAATAGCTGAGATTCCTAACATCTAACCATATGCTCATATGATATACAGTGTATTAGTGTTGCTGGACATAAAGAGAAGAACATAAGAAGAACATATATCACATCTATCAGAATTGGCCCTGGAGTCCAGCTCTGCCTCTCTCCCCGGGACATATCAATAAACAGGAGTGATGCTCTAATTTTAATTAGATCGTGTCTTCTCTATCCAAAGATTATTCACACTACTTCATTAACTTGCAGGCTCTGCCACAAGTCACCCTAGTTGTCGGTCGGAAAGTGGATGGTGGATTGTGTCGAGTCGTGACCTTAGCTGATATCAAGGAAAACAAGGAGGTGGAGTTCAATGTTCCTACAGCAGCTGCCCCTTTACAACCAGGCTCTCCAAAATGGGCCAACTATGTTAAGGGGGTCGTGGCAAACTTCAAAGGTAGTGACAGGTTTTACACCTTGTTTAGAAAAACAAATGCAAAAAATATTCCATCCTGACATGAATCGTAAATAAATTCTAAAGCAGAACTATAATATTCTAGTTATTTATGATATCAGAAAAGATAATTTTTCAAGGATAATTAACGTATGTAACAGCCTTTCTAGTATATAAAAAAATATTGATCACATGACGGGGAAATTGAATACCCCTCATTGAACTCAAATAATACAAATATTTAAGTATCACAGGATCCTTATAACCTACTTTAAAGAACATGCCTGCCATGTAGTAAAGTCTGTTTTAGCACCTATCTTGTGGATGCTGCTTTTATACAAGGTTGTTTCTATGACAGGAGACAAGGTTGGATTCGATGCTGTGATCATCACCTCGGTGCCCATCGGGGGTGGGGTTTCAAGCTCTGCCTCTATTGAAGTCGCCACCTACACATTCCTGGAAGGTGTGACGGGGACTTTTGGGCAGGTTGACAAGAAGGAGAAAGCACTTGCATGTCAGAAGGCGGAACACGAGTTCCCGGGCATGCCTTGTGGTATCATGGACCAGTTTATCTCTGTAATGGGAGAGAAGGATAACGCCCTCCTCATTGACTGCAGGTGAGATTAAGCGACTAGTTTTGATGTTACAAGTACTACAGCTGTCTGGCTTCTGTGACAACTGGTTAAGGGATATTGTTGCCAGACTAGAAAGAGAAATACCTGTAACAACAGGCAGTAAATTAAATACCACTGTTATTTTATACATACAGTTTTGCAAACATGATCAATGGTCAAGTAAAACAATATATTGTGGCTAATTAACCTGTTAATAAAACAAAGATTTAACAAAATTAAGTATTCATTGTGTAAAAAAATACCTTTTGTAAAAATGTTTTGGAACATAATATACCTGTCTGTTTTTATTTAGATCGGTAGAAAGTCGCCTTGTACCCATGAAGGACCCTAGCGTGGCCATCCTGGTGACCAATTCCAATGTGAAACACGAGTTGACAGGAACAGAGTACCCTACCAGGCGGCGCCAGTGTGAACTGACTGCTAAACTCCTCAACAAGAAAAGCCTGCGCGAGGCTACTGAGGAAGATCTCAAGGGTAGGTCACAACAAGGGTCATATCATAAAGGTCAGGGTGACATCAGGAGTACAGGTTTTCCTGGCAACACATTTGTGATTCTGATAGTGTGTGAACTGATGTTAAGGTCATACTACTGTAAACTGCTGCATCAGGGAAAGTCCTATCCATATGTATGTTTGTTGACTTTAACCAAAGTTAAAACTCTGCATAGTTTCTACATCCATTAACTTGCTGTTCACATACAACATGTGAATTTTTCGGTTTCCACAAGTTATTATTGACTTTTACAGAGCTCAAAGTTAAGGTTGACGATGAACATTTCCGAAGAGCGCGACATGTTATTGGGGAAATCAAACGCACAGAAGAGGCTGCAACAGCTCTTGAGAGCGGAGATTATGACAAATTTGGGAAACTCATGGTAGAAAGTCACAATGCTCTCCGGTAAGTTAATTCTGTATTTAAGACAGCTTGGTTTTAACAGATAACAGATATGTCATATAATACAGAACTGTAAAATACCCCTATATTGCGTAGACATGGTTGAAATGACACCTACATTCTGAGAATACAAGTGCTCAATAGTAAGTATTCTGTTTGTGCATTTGTCAATTCATATTTCATTTCTGCATGATAATTCTATAAATGATGTATAAGTCCAGAATTCCAGTTTTGAAAATTATGAATTTCTTTCTCCTTTTTTTTGCCCTCCCATGAAATGGTGTGGGAAGTTTTTGTGATAAAGTCTGTTATGGACTAAATACTGCAGCTAGGGTCACATAACTTCAAATATGCCCTTCTATCATAATGTTGCACAACATTTTTAGCTCACCTGGCCCAAAGGACCTTGAACTTTGACTTTGACATCTGTGCGTGGGAATTGGACATTATTGTCTTATAGACACAATTCTAGTGTCCTCTTTTTAATTATATCTTTGTATTTCAATTCCATTCTGAATCGATAATTCTGCAACATTGCCTGATTGCCATTATCTTCAGTTTATGTCTATTTTTACAGAACACATTTTGCAAACACAGATGTCTCTGCCCAATGTATGTGCTTGTCTTAATGACAGGAATATTTTTGCCTTTTTTTTCCTGGCAAATTTACGTAATGTTTATTTTTGTTGTTGTGACATAACTCGTTATGTGAGTAATAAGGACGAAGGTATACTTATATAACATAAAAGAGTGCGGCGAGAGAAGTGTGATTGACGCAAAATGTACAAATTCGTCATAAATTATATGTTTTATATACAAGAACAAACAAATACACCGTCAACGTGTCGAGTGTTATTGTACATGTGTACTTATGTATTTCATACCACATTAACGTTGTATACAGGAAGTGTAACTTACACGTGATGGTAAATGAATTAAAAACAAGGTTATGCTATTCAAGTAACCCTAATCGACCATGGTACATTATATACTTATTAGTAAAACGTAGTATATCTGAGATTACTCTTAAAATATCCAAATATCAATGGAAGATATGTAGTTTAATATTACACTTAGTAAATGTATACGAGTGTATATGTGTGAACAGCTTGGACAAGGTTAATCGAATGCACCTTAATCACACCATATGATATATTATATATTAGTTAAATGTATTACTTCTTAGAATATTTCAAAATGTCCAAATGTAAATGGAAGATAGGATATAGTCTAATATTGAATAGTTTAATATTGTACTTAGTTATAAAGACGATGCATTAATTTAAATGTACATGCGAGTGCATGTGTATACAGTTTAGACAAGGTTAATAGAATGCACCTTGCAATCACTGTCACACAGAAGCTTTTGTTAAATATATATATGGCGACGTGAGGTTGTGGTAGAGTGAACGAAACGTATCATAGTAGAAAGGTGGGTGTTAGTTCCATTATCTCTCAAAATTATATTTTCTATATGTGTTTATATGTTTTATGTATGTCCGACCCCATTCCTGGTGTTCTCCCATGTTGCAAACCAACGACTATTGTGGTTTTAAAACAGACATGGCCGGTGTAACAATACTATCTGCCAATTGCCAGGGTCTTGGTGATATAGTGAAACAAAAAGACGTATTTGCATACTTGAGAAATAAAAATTATAATATATTTTGTCTTCAGGATACACATTTTACAGCAGAAAAGGAAAATTTAATACGGGCTAATTGGAGTCTTGATTGCTTTTTTAATTCCTACAATTCAAACTCTAGAGGGGTTGAATTGCCATTCTTTTTAATAATAACTTTGAATATAAGATTTAAAACACTATAAAAGATGACAATGGGAATATTTTAGTTTTAACATCCAAATAAAAGGTGAAAAACTTACACTTATAACTGTATATGGTCCTAACAGTGACAGACCAGATTTTTATGAAACAGTGGAAAATATTTTAACAGAGTTGGGAAATTTTCAGTTTGTTATATGTGGGGATTTTAATTTAGTTATTGATCCGAAATTAGACTGTGATAATTATCGGCAAATAAATAACCCCAAGGCCAGAGATAAAGTTTAGTACTTAAACAAGAATCAGGTATGATAGATACTTTTAGAGAATTAAACCCGGATACAAGAAGATACACTTGGCGTAGAAGAAATCCATGTAAACAGGCAAGATTAGACTTCATTTTTATATCCGATGGACTGCTCCCAAGTTTAACTGCTTCGTCTATTGAGCCAGGATATCGCTCAGACCATTCCATGTCAGTTATAAGTTAAGCTTCACCAAATTTCAAAAGGGAAGGGGGTTATGGAAATTCAATAATTCATTACTTCAAGATTCAGTATATTTAAATGCCATTAGATCTCTAATTGTGAACATTAAAAAACAGTACGCAGCACCAATTTACAATATGGACAATATTGAAAGTGTTTCTTTGGAAGACTTGATGTTTGTAATTAATGATCAACTGTTTTTGGAAACTTTACTGTTAGAAATCAGAAGTAAGACTATTTCATACTCATGCTATAAAAAAAAACCAACAGTAATGATACAGAGAAAAAGTTAATTGAAGATATTCAGGAACTAGAAAGGGGAGCACTATCAAGTAATGTTGAGTTAAATAATATTGACATAAAAAAGAGAGAACTAGAAAAGTTAAGAAAGCATAAATTAATGGGCAATATGATACGTTCCCGAACAAAATGGATAATTGAAGGAGAAAAGCCAACTAGCTACTTTTGTGGACTAGAATCTAGAAACTTCACCAGTAAAATTATTCCAAAGATAGAAAAAGATGATAGTATAGTGATTTTAGAACAGACAGAAATTCTAAATGAAACAACTTTTTTATGAAAATTTGTACAAAAGAAATACTGCTATACAGGATGTAAACTTATAGGACTTGTTTGATCCATATGATATACCTAAATTATCTCCCCTGGAATCAATATCATTAGAAGGACAAATAACTATATCTGAAATGGCAAAAACACTAATGAAAATGAAGGATAATAAAAGTCCTGGTTCCAATGGCTTCATTGTTGAATTTTTTAAAGTATTTTGGAAACAACTTGGGTATTTCATTGTCAGGTCAATTAATTTTGGTTATTCAGTTTCAGAACTGTCAGTTACTCAAAAACAAGGAATTATAACATGCATCCCAAAAGGCGACAAACCCCGTAATAAACTAAAAATTTGGCGTCCCATCACACTTCTCAATACTATTTATAAGATGGCATCCGGCACGATAGCAGAAAGACTCAAAACTGTTATAACTAAATTAATTAGCAACAGTCAAACTGGTTTTATTCCAGGTAGATATATTGGAGAAAATACACGTTTAATTTATGATTTAATGCATTATACTGAAGAAAATGACATACCTGGTCTTCTATTGTTAATTGATTTTGAAAAAGCTTTTGACTCTGTGTCTTGGAATTTTATTACAAAAACTTTAAATTTCTTCAATTTTGGACCATCACTTATTAACTGGATCAACCTTTTTCAAAAAAATATACGCTCTGCAGTTAACATAGGAGGGAACTTATCCAATTTTTTCACTATCGAGCGTGGATGCCGTCAGGGGGACCCTGTTTCTTCATATATTTTTATCTTATGTGCTGAAATTTTATCGATTCTATTAAGAAATAATTCAGATATCAGCGGTATTGTTGTAAATAACAAAGAAATTCTTTTATCTCAGTTTGCTGATGATACGTCTGTTATCCTTGACGGTTCAGAAAAATCTTTAAATGTAACGCTACAACAACTTAACTATTATGCCAGAATTTCAGGTCTTAAAATGAATTTCACCAAGACCCAGGTAATCTGTATAGACAGTGAAAAATATAGTAATAATAAATATACAACAGAACACAATCTTTTGTTTTGGAAGCACACATTTTAATTTGCTAGGCATTGAATATGATGTTGATTTACTTAGAGTAGTTAAATTAAACTTTGATAAGAAACTTGTAAAACTTAAATCTCTCATAAGTTCATGGAATAGAAGAAATCTCACTCCAATAGGTAAGGTAACCATTATTAAAACATTGCTAATTTCACAATTGAATCATCTTTTTATAGCTCTTCCAAACCCACATGACTCTTATATAAAGAAAGTAAATAACATTTTATACAATTTTTTGTGGTGCGGAAAAACTGATAAAGTTAAACGTGATGTAATAATTAAGTCATACGAACATGGTGGTTTGAAAATGATTCATTTAAAGTCTATCATAACAGCACTAAAGGCAATGTGGGTATGGAGGATCTATAAAGAAGATGCTAGTTGGTCTTTCATTACTGAAAACTACATTGATAAGTTCCCTTTAGCTTATTGTGGAATTCATAAATTGAAAATTATATGTGAAGAATGTAGAAATATTTTTTGGAAAAATGTTCTAGAATTAAGCATGTATCAAACAATAGTGTCGTCCAGTATATATAGTGAAAAAAAATGTGAAAATCCTTTGTGGTATAATCACAATATCCAAATAAACAATAAGCCTGTTTTCTGTAAGAGTGGTATAGAAAAGGAGTGCTTTTTATATATGATGTAATTAAAGAAGATGGTTCTTTTTATAATTTTGTAGAATTTCAACATAGATATGATATAAGGTCCAATTTGTTTTAACTTTTCACAGTATAATTAGTGCTATAAAACAGTTTATAAATAGTAAACAAGAAATCTTTGCTTTAGAAAATAGTATTTGTTTACCTAATATACCTTTAAGTCTAAATATTATATTAAGGAAGACTAAAGGGGCACAGGATATTTATGCTGTTTTATGCCAAAATGATACAAAACCCACGTCACAGAGGAAATGGTCTACAGTTTTTAACTTTCAGGACAAATTATGGAAAAAGATTTATGCATGTCCTTTTAAAACTACTGATAGTCCTAAATTAAGATGGCTTCAATACCGAATTAACCATAGAATCTTAACTACAAACACACTCCTACAAAAAATGGGAATAAAACAAAATTCAACTTGTACTTTTTGTAAAAGATTTCCAGAAACAATTGAACATCTATTTTGGGATTGTGGTAAAGTATGTGAAATTTTGAGAGAACTAAAACAATTGCTTGCAACCAGTAATATTGATTTGAATTTTGACAAACAGGAATTTATATTTGGACAATTCAGTTCAAAGGATGCTGATTTGATAGTGGATAATCTTATCCTATTATTGATTAAACAATACATTTTTAAAATGAAATGTCTAGAAATGGAACTTAATATAACGAGTTTAAAGAATCACATACTTTTTGAACTTAAATCTCATAAGATCTTGATAAATAAGCATAAAAACTGCAAAAATAATATAGACTTGCACAATAAAGTGGAAAAATGGCTTCTCTTATAAAATGACGTGAACAATTATCATTATACTATAAAGAAATTGGCGATCCCACCCCCATGTGTATGTGTGTACAGTATATAATTGGTCTCTTGTAAAGAGGTGTCCGTTGTGAAGGGAATTGTAATCAATGTAATGTATGCGTGTTGCTTTGTGTGTAAATGTGTTGTTTATAAAAAAGAAAAATTGATCGAAAAAAAAAAAAAAAAAAAAATCAATTTGATCTGGGATTTTTTTTTTTTATATCTTCAGTGATATTAAATCTGTATATAAACATTGAATACACACGTTTGTTTACAGAGACGACTATGAAGTGTCTTGTCCCGAGCTTGACCAGCTTGTTAAGGCTGCAATGGAGGTAAAAGGAGTGTATGGGTCAAGGATGACCGGTGGAGGATTTGGAGGCTGTACAGTGACCTTGGTCAAGAAGGACGAGGTCGATAAAGTCATGGAACATATACAGGTAGATACAGGCCTGATAGTCTTAAATTACAAAAAGTTACAAGTTCTTCTTCTATGCTATCTACATCAAATGAGACTTTTGGTCTGAGAGGACTAAATTGCTAGTTTTGAAGAGTGTTGAAAGTCACCAAAAATTAGCTTAGAAAAAGGATCTTTCAGAATCGGTGAAATACCAAAATATTTTATCTTCGTGTGTGTTTGTGTGTATTTAATTTTAAGAAACAAAGATATTGTGATTTGACATTGTATTTCTTCAATTTTTGTATATTTTTTTCTGCAATATTTCTGATTTAGGTTGATGGATATAATCTGAATAATCTGAACCTGCTTACATAACATTTATTTTCTGTCCATTACAGGAATGCTACAAGGGGACAGCTACCTTCTACGTGTGTGTCGCTGACAACGGAGCACGACTGATCAATTTATGATTACCATAATGTATTAATTATATGATATAGGCAAATCGCAACATAGTTTTCTACACGGAAATCAATCAGTCAGAAAGAGTGATTTTCTAATTGTTATATCATGTATACTGGGTAATTTTAGGTTTATTATATATATACTTGGTGGATGTGTATAACATGAAGTAAGGGAAATACAAAATGTACCTAAACAATAATAAATTTATCTATAACTAGATTAATGTTCTTTTGTATGCCTTTGATCATTTTGATCATCAGCTAATCAATCAAATGCATAGCATGTCATGACATACAATATACAGTGCAAAGAGAATGCAGTATACAAAGGCACAGAAGCATAATCATTAGACCCTATAGTAATAAAGCCATTGCATATAATTAGTTAAATATGATTTCCTGATCTAATATTGTTTGCTTCAAGAATATACTAACCTAAATTATTCAATTCCTTATTTTCTTGGAATGTATTTTCTTGATTGTAACCACCCTGAGAAAACGACTGCTGCTGCAATTTCATGTTAGGTTGATAACCTGGAGAACTGGCATGGTAGACTTGTTACTCTGTGTGGGTTTCTTCCTCTCGTTGCCACTAGAAGGCGTTTATAACTTGGCATGACATACGACACCACTATCTGCCTGTTCATTTTAACAAGTACGCCCATAATAGGGCCAAAACTGCCAAGTTTTTACCGGAGCTCCCGAGATGTGTCACTCTGCCCGACATGACCACATCATATTTGTGATTGTTTTAAGTATCAGTGAAGTCTAGGTGTGCCTTAAATATAACGCATAATCTTATTAGTATTGATATAATTCCATTGTGGACTGTGGAACCCTGCTATTATGGAGAATTCTCTGTTTACAGTTACTCTAGAATCTCTGAGTGTAACGAATGTTTAGTATTTAAGAGTAGAAGAATCTCGCAAGTATTAATTTGGACATTTTCCACTGCTTTAAGTGTTAACCCTCTAGTCCTGAGATTTTCCTTTATTTACAGTATAACCTCACTAGTCTAGAAATTTCCTCCTGTTTATTCACCTGTTCACACTGGAACCTCTGTAGTCTGAACTTTTTCCTGTGTATATTGGAACCTCTCCACTCTGGACATGCTCCCCTATTTACAGTAGGACCTCCCCACTCTTTACATGCTCCCCTGCTTAAAGTAGAATCTCAATGTTCGTGGGAATAGAAAACATATTTTAATGATAATGAAATAACTATGTTGCAGAACAAGAAATTGAAATGGCAGCTCACTCATTCTGGTGTGGATAGTACTTTTGCCCATTACAGTCCTCAAACATTTGATGTTGGGTCACCCATTCATCACCTAATTGTATTTCCAGTTGTAAAGTGACAATCTTAACATGTTTATATGTGTATGTAACATTTTGGTCTAAGTTGTTAAACATACAAACTTTTTAACAGTTGGACTTATTTTTTATATAATAATTATTTCCTTTAGCATAATGCCCCCTTCAAATTAAATTTGAGTTCATGATATTTTCATGATTTTTCAAACTTAAAACAAAATACAATGTCCTTAAATTTAAATGATCACCCTTAGATATCCTTCACAAAACTACCACTTTCAGATAGTGCTCAGAAAGTTATCACCATTGGATAATAAATACAAAAATACTTGTATTTCTGCATATATTTATAAAAACAAAATTAATTTGAAAATTGACTTAATTTATCTCTAAGTAAATGAATTTTTGTTACAATCAAGGCTAATTTGCTTTATCCAGTTTAACCGTTTCACTGGTTGGAACTGGGGAATAAAAACAATGGGCACAGATCAGGAGTAAGGCTGACCCAGTAGCGGATTTGACACACGTACATCAAGGGGTCCAGTTGTGTCTGGCTAAAACTTTATTTTTGAAGTATGTTTAGGTAAGGTTATACACATACATTTTAATACGAGTTTAGGAGAAAAGCATATAAGATTTCTGGTTTTATTATTATTTATTTGACAGATGCCTATTAGGTTGGCCCAATTCTGCTCCAGGTGTGTTCATTTATCATAGAATATTTGTGTTGTTTATACCTTTTGAGCCGAATACACGACAGTGGCCCTAGTTCAGAACTAATATATTAAATAATTCACAGTCCAAAGTATACATGGTGCAATAATGAACAAAATTCAAAGTAATCTGTACATTTTCTATTTTCTGTGCCATTTTTATATGAAATAGTACCAACCATTGTTATGTTGAATTTGTCTGGATTGGACTTGTTAGATCTAGAGCTGGTTTGGAATTATTAAAGAGATGTTTGCTGTAATGCTAGATTAATGATTTCATTGAATTTGTCTTTATTTAGACAATTAGATATGTAGAGTGTTATGTCTACACTTTCCTGTTAAATTTTGTGATTTCATTGTACCCTGAAGATAACTCTGCCACAGGAATTACTCTGTATCCCGTGTGTAGCTGAGACTTGATTTTAGAAGTTTAGGAACAAAGCCAGACTAAAGGTTTGATGGAGAGATATAACGGGAGGAGGTTAGCTTGTGCTCACAAACAAGTAGGGAAGGCTGTTCATTGTACCAATTACAGTTACAAGGGGCCTGTTCATTATGTGGAACAACCGGGTTTTTTCAGTTTTAATAAGTAACATTTTTGAGTATAAATCCTGGTGGGCCTGCAAATGTTTATGCAGGCCTTGCAAGGCTCATCTGAAAGCAGCATCAGTTTACTAGGTCCGACCTTATTTCATAAACAAACAACTCTGGTCCAACCGGTCGGATCACGATAAACAAGAGCAGCCTAGGAGTAAGCCTTGTTATAGATACATACCAAATGCTTATTTTCCATTTGTTTTAGAAGATTTTTTTATAGATAGATATATTTATTTTCTCTCATTACCATTGGGTTTACTGGTATGTATTACAATACTTGTTAAGAATCTCTGCAATCAGTGTACATAAAATAACAAAAAATATATTTAATATTGTTGTTTATGTGTTTTACACACATACCCTGAACCAAATTTACCTGGTTTATTATGTGATATACTTAAATCAATGCAGGTTGTTCGCCGCTGTTGTATGTTGATTTTAGTACGATTGTAATGAGATTTGTAAGACACTATATCACAGGGGCTTGTCAAATAAAATTCATATCTTCTAAGGGGCTGAAAGTGCATAACAAGCTCCTGTGCATACATGACCTTCTTAGAGATGAAGAACACTTTTGAGGTTTATCTAATGGTGTATATGTAATTTTGTTAAGTCATTGCAGACTGATATATATCAATTCCAGTACAATGGTAACGAGATTTGTAAGGCAACATTACAGGGGCTTGTCAAATAATGTTCATATTTTCAAAGAGACAGGAAGTACATAAGTAGCTTCTGTGCATACATTACCAGTAAGAGAAGATAAATAACATTTTTGATATTACTTGTTTAGAGGAATTGAATAAAAAATTTAACGCTCTTGTGTAATGCAAATGTACATAACTATGTGAACTTATTACCGTAGAAGGTTCTGTTCATGCGTTTTGTTGATAAATTCTTCAGAATCTCACTACAATTGCATGTAATAAAATCCTATTATAGTTACTGACTCGCCATGGTTTTTTTTTATTATATAGTATCACAAAAGAGAACAAGAGGCCCAGAGGGCCTGTATCGTTCACCTTAATATGTTTAAAATAATTGGTATGAAGTAAAGATATAGCAATCCATGGTAGGTGCTGTAAGTGCATATGAAATTTCAGAAAAATCCATCCAGTACTTGAGATATAATAATAATTATAATAATTGGAGGTTTTTATATACCGCTTTATCACAACCTAGTTCGTAGGTCGTCTCAAAGCGGTTCACAAATTATTATCCGTGGTTATAGGGCCTTTGCAACCAGCCAATACATTTCTCAACTCCCTGGGGAGCATACAGCCGGAACTGCCATTTCGGCGCTAACAGCTAGCATTCAACAATTTTAGCACTGCCCAACCACGTACTCATTTACAGCTGAGTAGACTGGAACAAGCGAAATAAAGTATCTTGCTCAAAGATACAACACATTGCCGTGCCGTGCCGTGAAACTGCAGCCCTTTGGTCACGAGCCCGGCGTCCTTCCACTGGACTACCGTGCGAGAACAAACTTCAAACAGAGCCCCACTCCTATGCCCCTAGCGGGGTCATACCCACCAATTATACAAAACTGAGTCCCTTTGACCCAAGGATGCTCCGGACTAAATAAGGATAAAATCTCTTAATCTTAATGGTCGAAGAAGGATTTTAAAGGTTTTACTTTTATTTCTCCTATTGGGTCCCCGCCCTTCTGCCCCCTGGGAGACCACACCCACTGCTGATACAAAATTGAGTCCCCTTGGCCCAAGGATGCTCCAGACTGAATTAGGATAAAATCCCTGAATCCCTATAGTAGAAGAAGGATTTTAAAGGTTTAAACTCTATTTCCCCTATTGGGCCCCACCTCTCTGCCTCCAGGGGGGTCAGACATACCGTTTATACAAAATTGGTTCCCCTTCACCAAAGGGTGATTCATACCAAATTTGGACAAAATCCTGTCATTCTTACAGAAGAAGAAAGGATTTTGAAGAATTTGCTATGTTTCCCTTATTGGGCCCCTCCTTTCTGCCCCGAAGGGGGCCACACTCGCTGTTGATACGAAATTGAGTCCCTTTTGCCTAAGGATGCTCCAGACTTAATTAGGATAATATCCCTTAATCCCTATGGTAGAAGAAGGATTCTAAAGGTTTTACCTATATTTTCCTTTTGGGCCTCACCCCTCAGGCCCTTGAGGGGCCAGACCCATGGTTTATACAAAATTGATCCCCTTCACCCAAGGATGCTTCAGACCAAATATGGAACAAATCCTTTCATTCCTACAGAAGAAGAAGGATTTTAAAGAATTTGTTTTATTTCCCCTAGGGGGGCCAGACCCACCATTTATACAAAATTTGTTCCCCTTCCCCAAAGGATGCTTCTGACCAAATTTGGTCAAAATCTGCTCAGTCGTTCATGGCTAGTAGCGTTTTAAAGGAAAAGTTGACGGACGGACGACGGATGCTGCGGTATGGCATAAGCTCACCATGGTCCTTAGTTTGATAAAGGGTACTGAAGATGAACTGTTACATTGTTTTCTCCATAACTGTGTACTCTTACATTAAAGGCAAACATGTCCATGTAAAGAGATCAATCCATTGGCTCTCCCAAACATACTATGCTGGCATTTCTAGGTAGAATATTCCTCTAGGGGGTTCTTCGTAGGTTACTGTTCATGACATCCTGTATAAATGCTGTAGTTCAAGGTCATGTCCATCTCCAGACAAGGGGATTTATATCCACAATCTGCTCGAAGAAGTCGAGGTAAAATGTTTTTCGTGATTGGGTACTGCTTTTGTTACTGTTCAGGACTAATAAGAAATAGACAGCTCGAGGTAAAACTTTTTTTGTAGTTATCTGGATTATTCAATTTACCAATGTTTGCATAAGAACTCCAGGTCAAGCTTTTTAGACTGATGGGTAGGCTGTCCAAATCACCTTTTGTCCATCCTGAAACTATTCTTGTTACCACTATTTCTCAAAGACTACTGTACTGATCTTTCTAGAATTTCATATTTAGTTTCCTCTAGGTCCGTAGTTGAGAAGATTTCATTTTGAGACTGATTGGAAGAAGATGGTGGCCATCTTGGATTTGAACATTTCATTATTGCTCTTTCATGTATTTAACACACAAGTGCCATTTGGTCATTAGTTTTGTTTCATTTTGGGGCTGATCAGAAGAAAAAATGTCTGCTAGCCAATTCAAGATTGTTATCGCTATTTCTCTAGAATTACTGGATAGATGTCTCGAATTTCAAACCTAGGTTTCCCTTGGTACTTTGTTGTGCATGTTTCATTTCATGACTTGATGGAAATAAAATGGCCATCTTGGATTTGACAATTTAAATTACTGCTCCTTTTCAAGAACTTGCGTATTTCTTATGTACCGGTAGTTGCTTCTTAGGTGTGCATGTGTAATTTTGAGATTGATACGAAAAAAGAAAGTGACTGCTGCCAATTGAATTTTGACAGTTAAGGTTTGCTGCTGTTATTTCTCATTAACCCTTTCATCCCTATGTAACTTTAATATACCCTACCATGCATTGATATAGATGAGTTCATTGTGGTCTAGTGGCAAAACATCTAGAGAGATCTTTCTCAAATTCCAAATGATGGTTCCTCTTAGTCATCAGTTGTGCTTGTCAATATTGAAACGTGTTGCAAATACACCTATTTTATTTTGAGCTTTATTAGAAGGAAAATGTGACTGCCAGAAGTCTGAAAACTCTCATCTATTTTGACACATTACTTATGCAAGTAAATAGGGCAAAAGAAAACTTCACTTTGAAAGAACATTAAGTTTTGAACAATATTTATCACAAAATGTTAAGAGAAAAGATGCCACTTTTACATCAAACCATGGTGTAGGGTGTGAAGTTGTTTAGTTTTGTTTTCTTCAGCACATGTGGCTTGTTTAATTGAATTTTTAAAAAACAAGAGGCCCATGGGCCTTAACGGTCACCTGAGTCCTACAGTATTAATTTTGGTTGTTATAATATGTACCAATTTGAGTAAAAAATTGTTAAGTATAACGTTAACTTAAGTTTGTCAGGACCATGAGCTGATCATTCCGAGACCAATTTTCAGTTAGATCGGCCTATTAAAACTTGTTTTTAAGTTTGAAATAGGTATTTTCAAAATAGCGGCCATGGCAGCCAAATTGTATTTCTGATTGACTCGAAAAATAACAAAACTTTGTTAGGACCATGAGTCAATCATTCCTACAAAGTTTCAGTTCAATCGGCCAAGTAGAACTTGACTTTAAGTTTGAAATAGTTTTTCAAAATGGCAGCCATGGTGGCCATATTGGATTTTTGATTAACCCGAAAAATAACAACACTTTGTCAGGACCATGAGTCGATCATTCCTACTAACTTTCAGCTCAATCGGCCCAGCAGAACTTGACTTAAGTTTGAAGTAGGTATTTTCAAAATGGCGGCCGTGGTGGCCATATTGGATTTCTGATTGACCCGAAAAATAACAACACTTTGTCAGGACCATGAGTCGATCATTCCTACAAAGATTCAGTTCAATTGGCCTAGCAGAACTTGACTAGGTTTGAAATGGTTTTTCAAAATGGCGGCCGTGAAGGCCATATTGGATTTTTGATTGACCCAAAAAATAACAACACTTTGTCAGGACCATGAGTCGATCATTCCTACTAACTTTCAGTTCAATCGGCCCAGCAGAACTTGACTTAAGTTTGAAGTAGTTTTTCAAAATGGTGGCCATATTGGATTTCTGATTGATCCGAAAAATAACAACACTGGGTCAGGGAGATGTCAATAACCTTCCCATGAAATATAAATGAAATCCCTTTGCCAGAATTTCAGCTTAAGTTGACAAGAGATCCCAGAGGGATCTTGGCGCCCACCTTTGTACCATCTTCATAAGTTCTTTGTCAGTTCAATCTTTTCTCTTGTTTCCTCTAATCTGTTTAATCGAGTCATGTTAACAGTAAATGCACCTTGAGGTAACTTTTGATCTAAACTTAATACTGATGTGTATGAAAGCCAACCTTCAAAGTGTGTTTGTCATTTCACATATTTACTAGTACAGTACTTAATGTGAAAGAAATATAATCGATCATTGCAATATGAGAAAGATCTGTTGAGTTCTTCTTTTAATCCATTTTGTTTTTATGATCAGTCTCAAAATATAACATACACAACGAGGGATCAAGGGGAACCTACATTTAAAATTTGAGAAAGATCCCTCCCGTACTTCCCGAGAAATAGCGATAACAAACTTTCACCATCATAATCCAAGATGGCTGCCTGTCGGCCATGTTGTTTATCCGATCAGTTTCAAAAGTTGCCCTGCACAGCTAAGGACCAAGGGGAACCTACATATAAAATTTGAGAAAGATCCCTCTGGTACTACTTGAGAAATAGCGATAACAAACTTTCACTATCAAAATCCAAGATGGCTGCCTGTCGGCCATGTTGTTTATCTGAGCAGTAAAATTTGAGAAAGATCCCTCTGGTACTACTTGAGAAATAGCGATAACAAACTTTCACTATCAAAATCCAAGATGGCTGCCTGTCAGCCATGTTGATTATCCGATCAGTTTCAAAAGTTGCCCTGCACAGCTTAGGACCAAGGGGAACCTACATATAAAATTTGAGAAAGATCCCTCTGGTACTACTTGAGAAATAGCGATAACAAACTTTCACTATCAAAATCCAAGATGGCTGCCTGTCAGCCATGTTGATTATCCGATCAGTTTCAAAAGTTGCCCTGCACAGCTAAGGACCAAGGGGAACCTACATATAAAATTTGAGAAAGATCCCTCTAGTACTTCTTGAGAAATAGCGATAACAAAAATTGTTTATGGACGGCCCACGGACCACGGACGCAGGGTGATTTGAATAGCCCACCATCAGAAGATGGTGGGCTAAAAATGTAAAATGTTAACGGACGACGGACGACGACTGACGACGACGGACGAAGAGGGATAGCAATAGGTCACTTGAGCTAAAGCTCAGGTGACCTAAAAATGCACATTTCAACAAATTAAAGAAACACGTCTGATCAGATTAAGAATAAATTTTAATATACTTACGCAAAGTATTCATAATCAAATACGTACAATAATATATGTATATACCTTTGTGAATACCAAACAATGACATTTGGTAAACATTCCACAATTAGTTTGCCTTCAATACATGAAGAGCAGATTCTACATTGCTATGCATTTTGCCACAATAAACAAAATGATACTATTCCACATTTTTTCTATGAAACAAAATTATAGTATATAAATCACAATAAATCACTACTAGTTACTGGTCTCCCTTCAGCCCAATATTCATCCTGAATCCTCTACGATAACTGTGTAGCTATGGTAGAAAGATGCAGTGTTTCTCCTTTATATTGTGTATTATACTAGACCAACAACTGTCAAATATGTATGAAGGAAGAACAAGGACTGGATAATCAATTTAATATATATGTATGCCATTTCGTTCAAAATTAATTTGATCCAAAACTATTCATTTAGCAAAGAACAAATAACATGTATCATATATGTACAGAGACTGACAGTGAGCGAACATTAAATCTCTCTCTCTCTCTCTCTCTCTCTCTCTCTCTCTCTCTCTCTCTCTCTCTCTCTCTCTCTTGTATATTTCCATCTTATGCCATCCTGGTGAGCCATTCACTGATATTGTTCTTACTGAACACACTTAAATGGTTACCCATTTTAACTGAAATTCATTTCTGCTCAAATAAACTTGAAACTGTCATTATATTTTTTTTATCGACTTTAATTTTCTTCAACTGTTTGTACAATGGAAAATATCTACGACTAAAATGAAAATTTTGGATGCACAGATAATTACTTTTTAAAAGGAAATTGGAATTAAAATACAATAATTCTATCAGTCCTTTACAGTACCATACAGTGAACAGGTTCACACAGGTAAGCATCAATATCACGATACCACGTTTTTTGTGCATGCTAAAAATTTTGTGATGTTCAACTAATGGAGATAATTTTACCAACAAAAGGAAATGACTCTCCAGACACTGACAGACGAATATTTAGCAGTGGACAGTACAAGAGCACAACATCCGCATAATCTATGTATACCTTAAATAACTTAAAGCATTTACATAAGCTCATCATTAAAATATACCTGTACATGTGCTTGAAAACACAACTGTGTGCGATTTAGTCACAAAAATTACATATGTATAATAAACCATATTGCAAATTACCTTAAATTATAAATTATTTGTTATACATTTAACATATTAAATAAGTATAAGATGATGTAACAGTATTTTCAGGAATATAAAACCTGACAAAGTTTGACCGTACAAAAATACAAAGGATCTGATGGTAGTTATTTGCTGCCTTAGGGCAAGGAGTTGTCTGCCCTTGTAATGATGCAAATGCAGGATGATACATTGATGTTATGAACTTTGACCTTAAATGTAAGATGATACTGGCCAAATATGGTTTAAATAACAAGTTGGTCTGGACACGCATTAGGATGTCGGCAATTCACCTCCAATCACTTCCTTAGATCTGTTCATCACTTTGCTATTACAATAAATAATAATCGTAATTTTATGGACAAAAATATTCGTACATAGATGATAGAACATTATATTTTAGATACAAGTAATACACTTCTGAATAAAGTATGTATAGCAGATTACAACATCCTAGATGGATCTGAGTTGCCGAAGTTACAGTTACAGCAAGTTTTTATTTTCTGTACTGAAAGAAATGTGTGCCAGTCATCAGTAATTATGCACTAAAAAAAGAGTACTTTTGTTTCATGACAATTTTCTGCCATCACTTGATGTGCTATATGTTTTCCTGAAGGATACCTACGGTGAGACTAAACACCTACCAATATCAACTTTGGAAATTGACGTCATAAACTACAACATCTAGAAATTATACAAAGCATTTAATACCAAATGCGTTCAACAAATAATACTGCAGGAATCTTCCTGCTCTTGGTTCCCTTAAAAAGGCATTAGTATACTGAATATTAATTACAGTATGTAACAAAATCTTAAAACGAAAAAGAAACAAAACTTTTAACATATTCATGCATTTTAGTTCTATCATAATAATAAGAAAAAAAATCATAAAAAAGTTGAAACATCACAGAATGGAAAGCCACATTAAGGCTCAGATGACAATACAAAATCATCCTGATTCACATCATCCCTGAGTGAAACGAAAAACAACGAAGAAAAGCAAGACAAGACAAAACAGAAAGTGGACAGAGTTACTGTTAATTACTTAATTTTCATGAGATACTAATGTTCATGTTAATTCACAAAGGGGCTCTATCAACATATTTCAAGAACTCTAGATGTTCCTTTTTGTAAATTAATATCTTCACAAAAAAGAGAAATCATGAGAATTACATAATTCACAGTAAAAACAAGACGAGAACTAAAAAACAAGAATGTAAAATAGGACAGAACTATTTTCTGACTTCTTATAAAAAAATATTCTATAAACAATAAAAATGTGTTGGCCCTCGTGTGTTAAATAGCACTTTGATAAAAATGTGCATTACTAATATCGATACAACAACAACATAACCATCTAACTAACACAATTTATTTATTTTTAACAAATTGTATGAAAGGCATGCTTGAACTTTTCAGAGCAAATAAAAAATTCATTGAAGCGGTAAAGAAATTAATTGGGTATAAAAGTATGTTAAATAAAAAACAACTGTAATCTGATCAAATAAAATTGTTCATGTCCAAACTATTGTAGTTCTACCAGTGTTCACACATGACTGAATACCTAACCCTGGTAAGTCACATATATGCCAGCACCATAAAACTCGAAACATGTGTATATCTATACTTTAGCGATCCCCGCAACACTGCGAAAACCTACATGTAAGTATAGAAAACTTTTATCTAGCATGACCATAGCTTTGATAAATCATTTCTGAAAAGAGAACAGTACCATGCGGGAGTTAAACAAATATCATGGTAACAACAGTGTCCTGAATGTAAACAATTAGCGGGGGGGGGGGGGGGGGGGCGGGGGGGGGGTAGACCGAGATCTGAACCCAGAGCTTCACATTGTAATACCATTGCTCTAACCAATTGAGCTACCTGGTCAAAGGAACTCTCCCGGCCCAACTGTGTTACAGATATATCCAAACAGAAGTTAAGGGGAGGTTACTTTATATAGGAAAAACCACTATTCAGTGGGACAGGGATCCTTAAAATTTTTAGATAAAGAAAAAATATTTTTAAACCGTATCATTTTCAGACAGACATTCCCTGTAATTAACCTGATTCAGGTATGGGAGCACATAACCAACACTTGTAGGCCAAAGGCTAAACCCAGAATACAGGAAACAACACATTCAATGAAGGAAATATCTTTCCTAACGAGAAACCAAATACACATGTAAGTTGATCTTAAGTGTTTCATCAATGGTTAAGTTTGATCGTTTGTTATAAAATATTTAAAATTGTGCTGCCTTTAAAAATCTGTATAACAAGGAAGATTAAGGGGCTAAAATATTAACTCCTCATAGAAACATTTACTAGTGACTGATTTTTTTTTAAACAACTTTAAAATCAGTTAAATTTTACAAATTTACTTACATGAAATTAAAACACAGAAAATAAAAAATTCCAATTTTAAATTTTAAATTAGACATATTTTTTTGCACTATATAGTTAAATCCCTTGAACATCTCTTCAATAAATGGTTAAAAACCGCTTGTGAACATTTTTCTAAAAATATGCTTAAAACAACAATGTAAACTGAAAGGCTAACATCTTAATATACTGAAAACAGTACTACTATACTGAAAACAGTACTACTATACTGAAAACAGTACTACTATACTGAAAACAGTACTACTATACTGAAAACAGTACTAATATACTGAAAACAGTACAGTACATTAGGGTACAACAGTAATACCCATCACTCGTATAATAAACCAGATAAAAATTAACACCGTTGCTGTACACTGAGTGTTGTATGTAACATTGCCAGATTGTAGACAATGGCCGCAGCACTAGAAAGGTACTTTATCATTATTCTGTATCAAAGGTCATCCCAATGGTAATGCTTAGCACTTTTTTTCCATAGGAATGTTTTCTCAGATACTTATAAAAGATAAATTTTGAAACGGAGAAAAAAAAAACAGATTAGAAAATACTATAAATGGAAAGAAATGTTTAATTTCTGATTTCCGATATACTATAATATACTATATATATATATATATATATATAGTTACATCTTAATGGAGACCTCATGATTGAAAGTATATATTCATATGAGACTATTAAATCTATTGCATACAATGAAGATACACACATACAAACACCTATTTATGTTATCCACATCCACTTTTTCAAACCACATCCCCTCTTTAATACCCACCAACCCTAAATTTAAGTACACATGTACCCTCAAATTTTGAAAATTATTAAGAAGTTTCAAACCTTGACCATGTCCCCAATAATCGCTTAATAAATACACAGTACAACTGGTTACCATTTTTTTTATCTGAACAACTCTTCAGCTTACCCGTTTATTATGTCTTCTGTTGGGTTCAAATAATTGATGCTCTGTAGTCCCCAATGTGTTGAGAATATGTGGAGTTCCAGGTAATTATGATATCAGTTAATCGTCAAAATCTTTACATTTATGCAACATGATATGTATATAACTGTATGAATCCATTCTGAATCCTGGACACTGAGTAAAGGGGATGACTTGATCTCTATAAAAATGGCGACACATGGTCAATGATGTTTGATTTGTTTTTCTCTCATCAAAATAATAAATTTTGAGGGTGCAAAGCTATACAAATTGTGTAGTCAAAGGTATAACATGTTTGTTAAGTTTTTAAAATGGAAAAACTCCATTTTATTATTCACATGTTGAGCAATCTTAAATTGCTAATTAATCTATGGTGACTACTGCAAAACATCTTCTCATTCACCCCTGAAACTTCATAATGAACTATTCCAACCATTGATTTGGAAGAGTTAAATGTGTCTTCAGGGGTAAATGAGTTAATAGATCTGCAGCAACTCCACATTTCTTTAAAATAACTACCCCTCTCTAAGATCTAGTTAATTTTCTAGTATCATGTGCACTTTTGCCCAAAATATTAATTACTATGCATGAAAACTATTTACTTGTTTTTAAAAATATCGTTAATTTAAACTTCGAATTTGAGGTAAACAACTTCTGAGTCATGCACCCATCTAGTCATTCTTAAAATTAAATCGAGTTTGAAACTAACATGACATAAATATTCCTTTAACAAATGTCTAATCTTCACAGTTTGAGCAGTGTCAATAATTTAAAATAAGCAAACGAATACATACCATCACACCCGAGTTAGCATTGATTGGCTAGAGTGTATGGGTACATATGCTATTCAAACCCTAACATGGGTACAACAAAGAGTGTAAATAGTCTAAAAATCTCCACAGCAAAATAGATACTAAATCTTGATTAAATATCTAGATGGTGATGATGTTATACCCAGCGTTGATATGGTCCAGTGACCATGGGTTGGGGGTCAATCCACCGTGTTATCACCGAGTCAGTGGTGCGTGACTCCGACATTCCAATGGGCACCTCCCACATGTATTTGTACTGAGCAGCAGAAGTCTCCATTATATCCACTTTCTCACTCTTCTTCATCTTCTTCTTCTTTCCGTTGACAGTGGTTGCACCGTTCTTGATAGGAAGATCCGGGAGGTCAACAGATATACCAGTAGCTTCTTCCTTTAACTTTTCAAGTCTCTTCTGACGCATGGTCTCCATCTTCCGCTCATACTCGTAAAAACCATGGTGAGCAAAGTTCAGATTTTTGTGTTGGTAGAAGACTAGACTTATTCTGGTTGGAGCACTGCGATCTGGATTACGAAGTCCAGTTGTGGCATGAAGTTCACGCTTTGCCACCTCAAACAACACAGCACCATGTGACAGTGCGATAGCTACACCACCTACTGAGGGATCAGTAAAAGCATTTTCGTTATACTCCATTTCACATTTAACCACAGTCGGGTCTAATACAGCACTATCAGGGTTTTCCTGAGTTGGAAATGGCATGGCAAATCCACCCATATTTGGCACTCCAGCCATGTTGGAAGGAGGCACGTTCGGCCCTGCTCCAGTCATAGTGGAATGTTGTTGGTTAGCATAAGGCATTGACTGGAAACTTTGGCTGTGAGGTGTTGTGGAGTTATCCCCCTTGTATTGATTATTGTGAGGTAGATTCGATGGAAAGCTGCCTGTTGAGTTTGGACGTTGTATGGAGGGATGTTTATGAGGATCATCATCAAATTGTTTTGTTCTCATGGAAACAGCTTCCGACAACAGATCAAGAGGGGACGAACTTTGCTTGGCTAATGGTGTTGACGGACATGACCTTTGACCTCTATTATCATGGAGATGTCCTTCCTGCTTTAAACCACGGAATGTGGTCTCCAGTCCTTGCTGAGAACCAGATTTTGAGAGATCAAGTTCATTTTGCTGCCCTGGTCGGGGTTGGAGGTCACAGTGACCTTGAGCAATGTTATTTGAAGCATTAATGGATGAAGAGTTGGTAACCTGTGGAAGCTTGTCCTTGTTGATATTCCATGAGTTGAGGAAACTTGGAGGAGGGAATGTACCATAGGAGTAAAAATAGCTCCAAAAAGATTCATACAGATTGGCAAAGCCTGGCTCAGATGACAAGGACATCATGTCCTCGTAGGAGATAAAACTTTTGCCAGCCAGCAGATCCCTGGGATTAGGACCTGGTGCTTTGACCCCATCCTTCTCCCCTGGAAAAGAGTTGGGTTTTTGTGCTGCTCCATTTCCTGCATCTGAAGACTTGGAATTCTGTGAATTAAAGTACATATCTGACAGAGATTGGTTTGATTCCTGAGAGTTGCCAAGTGGCGGATCTTTTCCAGGACCTTGAGGGGTGGATGAGTTTGAGCCAAAAGCTGGCTTTGGACCCCTTTTTCTTCCAGGCCCTGGGCTGTTTTTGTCCTTCTTTCCTTTCTTTTTACGACTAGGAGTGAGTGGAGTAGAACGAAGCCTCATTTCCATAGGGTACACCTGTAAACACTCCAGCGAGCCATTCCTGATCTTCTCCAGCTGTTTTTCACGATTCCCGTGCTCATCCTCAAGGTCCATGACATACAGAGGCAGCACATGGAGTTGTTCATCATCAGGCTTTTCCAGGCCCCGATGCTTGGTCAAGGTCAAAACCTACAACATATCAAGGACAACATATTACACCTATGACAAGGTGAATGTGCAAGTTCTCAAGATTAAGATCTTAAGATTCAAGAGAAAAGGAGAATTTTATACAATTATGGACTTTTGTGCTGGTGAATATGATGCGATATGAACCTGAAAGAGTGATATTGACTGAGGTGAAGCCGAGGTCAAAATCACTCTTTCAGGTTCATATCACATCATATTTACCAGCACAAAGGCCCATAACTGTTTTATTATATGCTTCAACAATAAAATAAAACAAAACAAAAATAAAGGTTCTGATTTTTGTCCGGGAGCCTCTGTGTAAAATTTAGCCAGGTTTGAATACAACAGTTCATCATTGTAGCTTTCGAAGGCATCGTCTAGGTTCTTTTTCTTAAGATAAGCATGGAGGACATGCACTGCTTGTTCAATGGCCTTTTTTACGCTAACAGCATCTTTATCCTCGAATAGATTTGGTAATTTTCCTAATGGAGGAGAAACATTCGCCAGCAGCCATCTTCTAATGTCATCTGACAGATCGCGTTCCAGTCTAACTGCGCATGCGCTACGACAGGTTCCGGGGAATTTCCATACAGGCTGTATTTAGAAATCGATATTCACCGGATAACCAGTCTACATGAGTTTTTGAGGACTGGTCACTTATAGGATCCGACCAATGTGATTGTGAGAAATGTTCATGCATATAATAAATCATGATAGAAGATATAAAAAAAAATCATGAAAAAAAGATGAAAAATCTTTAAAATCTTTGCTTACTGAGAAAAAGAATCACCTGTTTATCAATATGACAACCCTATGGGCAAAATATAAATTCTTGGCGTTACTGTTTATTTTCTATTACCACACCATCAAACTTTGTCTCCATTTCTGGCTATAAGTGATGAGACTGCAGGAGATTACTATATTCACCACACGTGCAGTCATAGAACAATCACTGGTTAGGGTTGCACATAAACAATATCTCCGAAAGACATTTCAATCAATCAGGAAATAAACCATAGTAAGGGCATAAAAACACCTATTAAAAATAACTTTTCAGTGTTTTAAGCATGAAAGTTAGCAGATCTAGAACTCACCACTGTGCTGCCATTGTTCATGTTGTGGAGATCTTTGTGGGAATGGGCACAGAAATCAACACACGCTGTCACCCCTGAGAATGGTCGGCCTTCCTCGTTACCCAGACGACATTCTGCACCATTCTTCTCAAACTGAATCTGTTCGCAGCAAATATTGATTCAAATTATTAGAGACCAGTTACAAACAAAATTACATTGATCTTACCTTCTCGCTAAGAAGTATTCAGATAAAATTAGAATTTATACTTGATAAGATCAGGGAATATTCTCAACCATGGTAAGTCCTGAAATACTGCTTTTTATCTTATTTCAAATACAGTGTAGTTGAAAAAGTTTAATGTACAACTACTCTTAACCGAGATGTGAAAATGAAGTGATGTACAACACCAGTTTAAAATGTGACACCTGTTTGTGAAAAATGAATTAATTTGCAGTAGGTAAAACTATTGACTCACCTGGTTGTGGTAAGCGCTAGGCGCCACCTGTTGATACACTGGCGCTACAACAGTTGCCAGTTTCTGTAATGTTTCCTCAAGTTCAACCTCCTACAAAGATATCAAATAATAAATCATAACATATAACACTAATCCTTTTTTTTATTTCATACTTACCCAATACTTGTTTTTAACCCGTCAGATTTTAAGATGTCAACAACTAAAACTACTGTCAATTAATGTAAAATTGTATTGGATATTTTGTTGGGTGAAATATCTAAAATTATAATAAAATAATATTCTAGTATACCTGCGATGTGTCTTTAAGTTTGAATTTTCTGGCTTCCCGACTTCTTGCAAATTTACATCCGTTGAAGTACATACTCCAGGAGCATCCGAATGAGAATGAGGCTCCTCTCCGCCTCAGGTTAATCCCCTGACAGGCACACGTCTTTCTGTAGAGGTACAAATTAGGGGTTTACAAACTCATGAATTAATCTTAATACCTTTTCTTCCCTTGTATGAAACAAAGTATCATCAAACACAAACTGTTGTGTGACATTCTGAAACAGGTTTTCATTCTTATTACTGAGCATTTGATAAAATGATTGAAACTGGTAAAACTATGGAGACAATATGACACCAATGCCGGGCTACAGTTTCATTATAATGCCTCTAAACTTAACGAAATTCCATTATGCAAGTTATCCCATTCGAAAAATCTAAGCTAAACAAAAGTTAAAGAATATTTGTGAAACTTGACCATCATTAAGTATTATATTGCTCACCTGTCGTTTGTGCCACATCGACGCTCCGTTTCAAAGCCATATTTGGTGAGAGAGGACGTGAGGTAGTTGTAAGTATTGTCAGCCATCTCTGAGGGAATACCCTCCCAGGCAACTATCACCATGACGATACAGGCAGAATCACAGAAGTGGCCCATCCTCTGTCTCACTACACACAAATACTTCTCCTCCTTGTTAGAACGACGGATAATCTACCAAATTAAGTGTAACCATCAATAAATAAATACCACTTGGGCAAATGTATTAACCACCAACACATAATATTTTATCTGAAGCCACAATTGCTTGTTAAACATATTATTGTCAGATTGTTTTCTCAATTGGGGAACATTTTCTACATCAGACCGTCTAAGATTTCCATTGTTCCAAGTTTAACTGACATACACATATATGTATATGTAAAGATGTGTGCATGTGTAAAGATCGACTATTGGAAGAGTTTAGTGTGGTTCTAATTTAACCCGCAGATTCCTGATGAAATACCAGAGTCCGGTTGTAAAATTTATCAAATTTTCTGGCTTTTTCAGCATTAGTCCAAATGTTGACTTGCTTCCACAGATGTGTTGTCATCAGAACCATACAATAATGCATTCATTATGCCTGCCTATGTCTGGGCTAATTGCACATAATACTGATCTTCATCAAAACATTTGAACTGAAGTTCAAGCATGATCGATAGCGACCTTTACTTACCCATTTAGCTATTGGACAACCCTGTGTACTTTTGCCCTCGCGACCAGTGTAGCGGATCTTCTCTATCCTGATAGCTTTACCAGTAACTCCAGTTCTGAAAATAAAATACAACTCATCAGTTTTCCTTGACATGTTAAAACTTCAGTCTTGCTTTCCAGCAAAAAAAATCAGATTTTTATCACAAAATGCATTTTACTTTATAAGATCAACTTTTAGATCACACATTGTAATTCTTCTTTGACAGTTTGTCTGTAGCAATGTTCTCTGTGATAAACAAAAATAAATCCTGTCTTATTAGCATACTCACCGTTTCTCCATCATTTCTCTGACAGCCTGTATACTGCGGGCAGCTCCCAGTTGTGTGTAGTAGGGCCCCTCTTCCTCCTCACTGGGAATATCTGAGGGTGAGCAACAACACAGTAATATCAACAAGTCGTCACCATAACATCATTTTACTAGCATACATTATCATAGCAAACATAACATCACCATAACAACATGTCATCATCAACATAAGAATTCTATATCGTGCTGACAAAACAGGTTTTCAAGCTCCGAGGTAAAGAAACTATCATGGGAAGAAAACAGGACATTGATAAAGGAAGTGATAGAAATCCTGACTTTGAATTGAATTAATATACATTCACATAGACTGTAGTTATAACGGACATTACATCTTAACACTATGCATGACATGACATATAGCAACATTTATTATAGTAATGACAAAATGTAGATACAGACCAGCCCATACTGCTACACTTAGCATTGACAAACTTTAGTATACTTACAGTCCATCCTTTACATTCACCCTTAGATATAACAAAGTTTAGTATACTTACAGTCCATCCTTTACAGTCATCCTTAGATATAAAAAAAACTTAGTATACTTACAGTCCATCCTTTACAGTCACCCTTAGATATAAAAAACTTAGTATACTTACAGTCCATCCTGTACAGTCATCCTTAGATATAACAAACTTAGTATACTTACAGACCATCCTTTACAGTCATCCTTAGATATAACAAACTTAGTATACTTACAGTCCATCCTTTACATTCACCCTTAGATATAACAAAGTTTAGTATACTTTCAGTCCATCCTTTACAGTCATCCTTAGATATAACAATCTTAGTATACTTACAGCCCATCCTTTACAGTCACCCTTAGATATAATAAACTTTAGTATACTTACAGTCCATCCTTTAATATAACAAACTTCAGTATACTTACAGTACATCCTTTACAGTCACCCTTAGATATAACAAACTGAGTATACTTACAGTCCATCCTTTACAGTCGCCCTTAGATATAACAAACTTCAGTATACTTACAGGCCATCCTTTACAGTCACCCTTAGATATAACAAAGTTTAGTATACTTACAGTCCATCCTCTACAGTCATCCTTAGATATAAAAAAAACTTAGTATACTTACAGTCCATCCTTTACAGTCGTCCTTAGATATAACAAACTTAGTATACTTACGGACCATCCTTTACAGTCATCCTTAGATATAACTAGCTTAGTATACTTACAGTCCACCCTTTACAGTCATCCTTAGATATAACAAACCTAGTATACTTACAGTCCATCCTTTACAGTCCCCCTTAGATATAACAAACTTCAGTATACTTACAGTCCATCCTGTACAGTCATCCTTAGATATAACAAACTTAGTATACTTACAGACCATCATTTACAGTCATCCTTAGATATAACAAACTTAGTATGCTTACAGACCATCCTTTACAGTCATCCTTAGATATAACTAGCTTAGTATACTTACAGTCCACCCTTTACAGTCATCCTTAGATATAACAAACCTAGTATACTTACAGTCCATCCTTTACAGTCGCCCTTAGATATAACAAACTTCAGTATACTTACAGTCCATCCTGTACAGTCATCCTTAGATATAACAAACTTAGTATGCTTACAGACCATCCTTTACAGTCATCCTTAGATATAAAAAAAACTTAGTATACTTACAGTCCATCCTTTACAGTCGTCCTTAGATATAACAAACTTAGTATACTTACAATCCATCCTTTACATTCACCCTTAGATATAACAAAGTTTAGTATACTTACAGTCCAGCCTTTACAGTCATCCTTAGATATAACAAACCTAGTATACTTACAGTCCATCCTTTACAGTCACCCTTAGATATACCAAACTTTAGTATACTTACAGTCAGGGCCTTTACAGGCACCCTTAGATATAACAAACTTCAGTATACTTACAGACCATCCTTTACAGTCATCCTTAGATATAAAAAAAACTTAGTATACTTACAGTCCATCCTTTACATTCACCCTTAGATATAACAAAGTTTAGTATACTTACAGTCCAGCCTTTACAGTCATCCTTAGATATAACAAACCTAGTATACTTACAGTCCATCCTTTACAGTCATCCTTAGATATAACTAGCTTAGTATACTTACAGTCCACCCTTTACAGTCATCCTTAGATATAACAAACTTAGGATACTTACAGTCCATCCTTTACAGTCACCATTAGATATAACAAACTTCAGTATACTTACAGTCAGGGCCTTTACAGCCACACTTTGGAATAGAGATCTTTATGTTCTTCCTTAGCCGCTCCATCAAGTCATCCTCCTCGTTGGTCCCAAGCACGGTGTCCTTCAGCTTCTGTACCTGGTCAGCTGCCCAGGCCAGGTGATCCATCTTCACACCATCCGCAGGAGATGTACCACTATCATCACAGCTAGTCCGCATATCAGAAACACCATTCATGTGACTGCTGTCCAAGCAGTTCTCCTTTTCTGCCTCCCTTGACATTTCGTCCAACCCACCAAATTCCATTTTACTGTCTTTATATCCCAGGTCTTCCTTCTTATAAACATTTTGTTCTATATTATCAGAGACACCTATTGTACGAGAAAGTAATTTTTGATCAGATGTAAAAAGTTTTTGGTCTGAAAGCTGACATTTTATATCCGATATAACATTTCTTTGGTCCAGATGCAAGTTTTTTTGGTCTTGACCTTGAAACAATTGTTCTGTCTTTTTGCAATCTGATACAGAAGGTGACGGAAGCTTTGATATTGCACTATCCTGTGATAGAGAGGAGACGCTTCTGACACTACAACTGGTGACTGTACAACTGGGCGACAAACGGGACATCAAACTAGGCTGTTGGTTCTTCACCCCGCCACTACTTTCATGGACGTCTAGCAATGAGGAAAACTCAGGAGACAGAGTCCGTAACTTATTGCTACACAACGGGGAATACCTCATTCCCAGCTTTTCACAGTTGTTACAACACGGTGTACTTCTACCATCATCTAGTTTCTTGGAGCTTTCATCCTTTCTCAATGATTCAATGAATTTCAGAGGATCGTAATTTCCAGATGGAGATGCATGATTCCCTCCTGTTAAACTGTATTGAGGAATGTTATCAGAGCGGCCTGGATAGTTCAGCAGGTTACCGTCATTGACGTGAGACTTAGGGTTAAACAGTGTGTCGACATCTTTTGGCGATGTTTTGGAATTGACTGGGTCATCAATCTCTGGACTGAGTCCTTCAGTGTTGCGAGACTGTTCACCAACTCCCAGTTCTGCTCCGAGGCAGTGTTCAATGGACGGTAACTGTGGTGGAGCTAACTTCTCCTTCCTGGGTTCTTTTGACTTCTTTTTCTTTGGGACCAATCCAGCATTCTCACCATCCACTAATTTCACTTTCCTTCTTTTAGGTTTGGGCATGATAGGATCATTTTCAACCTTATGCATTCCATTTTTTACTTCATGATTAAGAAAATCACTGTCATACTTTTTCATTAGAAATGGATCCATATATGGGGGTGCAGGATAAAAGGGGTTAGGATATCCCATTCCATGATTGAGCCGGTTGTTATGGCTTTCTATATTTGGAGAATTCATTTGTGATTTTTTGTAAAGGCCATCTGGTAGTTCATTTGATGAATGTTGCTTAGTACTAAGTAAAAATTCTGAGGATGCTTTGAAAGGCATCTGTACAGGATAAGGATGCACTTTTTTATCTATACCATTTGGGGTCATAGCCCTCTTTGGGTCCATAATACCAGACCTTGACCCCAATTCTTGACCCTTGTCTGAAAACATGTTTCCATGGAAACCAGTTCCTGTAGGAAGATGACCATTGATTTGATGATGTCCATGAAAATTCACGAGACCTTGAGCACTATTTGGTGATATTTTATTTCTTTCGAACGGATATGATGGAAATTCCTGAAAATGTGTAGCTGCCGTTTTCTGCTTGATGGGATCACTGCCATTTGCCCTATGATCTTTGTTGAACATAAACTTCCCAGTGCCTTCACTGCTACATGTAGTCTGGTAGTTCTTCCCAGGATAGGGGGACTTCTGAAAATACACAAAAACACATACAAAGGTTATTTTGTTTCTCTGATAAACTTCCTCCTTGTTAATAAATGAATATGCAACAACTACATATACTGTCATAGTAATTTAGACCTTAACATGCTATACATTACTTAAGTGCGGACATGACATAACTTATTTTTCCTTGTTTCCTTTAAGTTCTTCATTGCTACTTACATAAAACAGGAAATCACATTTTAAGATCATGTCTAGTAGATCCTTACTCCGGGCTAATGTTGATAATCAGTCTTTGTGTATCACAACAAACCTGACTCATCAAATGTATATTTATATATTTTGTCATGCATGAAGGACTTAGTATACTAGTATATTCAATATGTTACGCTCTGCAAAAAGTAAACCACAGACCCAGTCAGTCTAATAGAAATATATTATACATCCTGTGGCTTTATCTCTCATAATCGTCCCCATTTTGGTGCGATGCATACACTAAGTACCATTAAAAACAACCTCAAACCCAAACTACCATTACGGTATTACACTCAAGTGCTATTTTGATTAAATTTATCATAATTGTAGCCATATAATGGTTCTATAAACATCAGATAGCATATGGTCTACATGACAGGAATTCTTCTGTTTCCAAAAGAGAGATAAAAAGAAGAAAACATAAATGTAATTATAATTCAATCCTCTATGTAATGTAAAATAAGGTTTAAATCAAAATGAAACTTAAATAATTTGATGACTTGGTTATAGTCTGGTCCTATTTTTCATTTATCTTTTCTTGTCAAAAGTGTTATTTAAATTGGGTAAAATGTAGTTTTGAATAAGCAGAAAAGTGCAAGCCTGTCAATATAATGACCATGCAGAAGTTCATGTTTAAAATATTAATAAACTATAAAGTAATCAAGGTTGCTTTTTAATATGAATATATAAATTAACATGAATTGTCTTGTTTATTTTGATCACCTGTATATCCTTATTTATTATAAAGAAAACATCATGTGACCTGTTTTTATGTTTTATCTTTAATGCCTGCCTGCCGGCACTCGCTGTCCTTACTCACCCCTGTCAGCACTTCATAAAGAAGCGACAACCCCTAATCTGTCGCTTTATTATCTGTGAAATTTATTGTATCTCTCATCATCCAACTCAGTAATGGGACAATTTGGCAGGTAAAAAATGTGTATGAAAATGTCACTTTTAAAGCAATTTGTTTAAAGTGTTGGGGCTGTGCGGCTATATCACTGATCTAACTACACAGTCATTCCTGTATAACAAATGACAAATAAAAAACAATCTAAACCTAAATCTATCATAAAAAGCCTATATCAATTACCGTTATACCTTTTGTTGTTATTTGTTCAATAATTTCTCAACAGATGTAAAAGTACTTTGGAAGTATGTGCTTAATATTCCTGGATAATCTTGATGGTTTTATTACCATGCAACTGTATACAACATCAAAGCTTAACTCTAACAGACAATAAAACGGCTGACATAAATATGTGACACACTGATGCACTTTAAAGTTGAATTATGCCATTTAAAGGTTATTTAAGTTCATTTAACTTGACATTTCCCCTCCAATACTACACTGGAATAAGTTGTTGGGTACTGCAATTCTGAATTAATCATAGATTGTTTACTTATCTGCTGTATAGCCTCTCATAAATGTTATAATAGAAATAGATAACACCAAGAACTACCACTGCATCATGGAACAGTTACGAAAACAACTGAGGTTCATAACATCATAAGCATTAAAGGACTAGAAATAATTTTACAGACCGTAATCAGTTGGGCTTGCAGTCTGAAATTTTTGGAAGTCCACATGCAAATTACACTTACAAATTATTCAACTTGATAAGTATCATATTTTGACTAGTCAATCGGCAATCAGTTTTTAGTGGTACAAGTCCAGCTGAAGATTTCATAAAGTCTCAGAAAGTCTTGCTAACCGTATTGTCTATAGCCCCCTATTAAAAACATGCATTCCAATCTTTAAATAAATAGCAGTAAACGTAAGATATTTCAATAATAAATTTGGGTTATATCATGCATGTGAATACCAAATCTATATGAACCTGACAATAACTAGTGTAAAGAATCTAAAATTGTACTGTACCTGATACGGACGATATAGTAAAAACATTTTTGTTCTGCCACTTTCTAAATCACAGTTATTCTAACTATAATTGGGGACTGACAGCAGTCAGATCTACCACAGTCACAGATAACTATATCCACCAAAATAGTATCTGTATCCAAGGGGTTATTGAAACTTATCTAGACGTATTTTCTGAATCACACATGTGTAAAATGATTCAGTTTGTATGAAATACAATGAATTTCCACCTATGTATTTGGTCTAGCTAACAGATCCACATGAATTGCCTCTTTACATCCTCATGTGATAGTGACCAGTTAAGACCCTTGTAACACACTTTATAAGGCCACCATTAGAGTGACTTTACCCCCAGGGCCAGTGATGACACACCTGCCTCAGTATAAACAGCCAGACAACTAGAGGTAAGTAGTTCTAGCTACATGACTGTGGTAGATTGTGTCGTTTGGGTGATAATTGGATCCTCCTGGTTATAAGACCCACTGGACTGTGATGAGCCACACCATATGATACCTGTCCTTACATTTAAGTGTTTACCTGCAGTACAGGTGTTATATTATCACCTACACATATCACCATCACTTGTTTATATACCTATAGGCTATACATAATTGTCTGCAATCTTATAATTATACAAACTGTAATCAAAATTAATCTGTCACTAATAATTACTAGAGACACTAGTAATATGTTATTATTACTCAGTGGATTGAAGTGTATTTTTAAGTTTATCTCTACATAACAGCTTCTAAGTATAAGTTATTCATATATAACCTATAAACCACCAGGACAAAGTAATACATACTGGTATTACCTGTATATTTCAATTTACAAAGTTAAACATAAATTACCTATCTACAGTACAATTCAATAATACACAGAGTCATACACACTGGTATATTACCTGTATATTCCTAATAATAAAGTTAAACATATATTACCTATCTACAGAACAGTTCAATAATTATACACACTGGTATATTACCTGATTACCACCAGTACCCTCCAATACACAAAGTTGTACATATTTTACCTGTATGCTTCAATACACAATAACATATATATATTGTTTATATTGCAACAAACACAGTCAAACTTGTATTACCTGGTTGTGGACTACCTGTATACTCCAATTAACAAACTAAAACTTACATCACTTGAGGACTACCTGTACACTCCAATTAACAAACTAAAACTTACATCAACTGAGGACTACCTGTACACGCCAATTAACAAACTAAAACTTTCATCACCTGAGGACTACCTTTACACTCCAATTAACAAACTAAAACTTACATCACCTGAGGACTACCTGTATACTCCAATTAACAAAATTAAACTTATATTACCTAACTGCATACACAAAGTCATACCTATATTTACCTGTATATACTACGAGTACATTCCAATACACAGAGTCATAATGTACTACTTGTATATACATAATCAAACCTGGCTATTTGATTTCACAAATCCTTGAATTCATAAAGATATCTATTTAAAATGTTTTTGTAGTATCCTGTTCAGTGAACCTACAAAGAGGAATACCAGCAGGTATACAGTGTACACCTCAGTACAAATGTATTTTGATATGGACGGTATGACCCAGTAATATATGTGTATACTCTAAGATACAAGTGTACCCTGTACAAAACAACCACAATATAGAGTTGTGTAAACTGTGTATCCAGTCAATATATATAGGCGGTATGACCCAGTAATATATGTGTATACTCTAAGATGCAAGTGTACCCTGTACAAAACAACCACAATATAGAGTTGTGTAAACTGAGTATCCAGTCAATATATATGGGCGGTATGGCCCAGTAATATATGTGTATACTCTAAGATGCAAGTGTACCCTGTACAAAACAACCACAATATAGAGTTGTGTAAACTGTGTATCCAGTCAAAATATATGGGCGGTATGACCCAGTAATATGTGTATACTCTAAGATACAAGTGTACCCTGTACAAAACAACCACAATATAGAGTTGTATGGGTGAAGCCGTGTGTTTGTAAACAGCCAGTAGCAGGGTGACCTTGTATGGTACCCTTCCATCATAGTGACCCAGTTTCCAGAGGAGACATTCTCCATGTCTAGCTCTCTGTCTAGCCAGACTGGTGGTCTCTTTCCAGTGATCCCACATCAATGTGTTAGTTAAAGCTATTTATGAAATTGAATATGATATTACATTTTTAAATTTAAAGACATGTGCAAAGCCACTCTGTAGCCTACAATCAATGTGCTACCATACTAGTGATGTAAACCATCAACCTTACAATACATCCCTCACTACAAAACACCTCTCCTGGTACATAGCACTGTCTCATGGTATATAACTCATCTCCTGGTACGTAACACTGTCTCATGGCATATAACTCATCTCCTTGTACATAGCATTGGCTCATGGTATATAACTCATCTCCTGGGACATAACACTGTCTCATGGTATATAACACATCTCCTGGCACATAGCACTGTCTCATGGTATATAACTCATCTGCTGGTACATAACACTGTCTCATGGTATATACCTCATCTCCTGGTACATAGCACTGTCTCATGGTATATAACACATCTTCTGGTAAAAAGCACTGACTCATGGTATATAACACATCTCCTGGTACATAACACTGTCTCATGGAATATAACACATCTCCTGGTACATAGCACTGTCTCAAGGTATATAACTCATCTCCTGGTACATAACACTGTCTCATGGAATATAACACATCTCCTGGTACATAGCACTGTCTTATGGCATATAACTCATCTCCTGGTACATAGCATTGTCTCATGGTATATAACCCATCTCCTGGTACATAACACTGTCTCATGGCATATAACTCATCTCCTTGTACATAGCACTGTCTCATGGTATATAA